TACTGGATCAACCAGTTCCAGGGCCTCGAGGCAGTTGCATTCCCTCCTCTGCCCTCCCCCTCCTACACTCCTGTGGCTAGCGAAAAGTTCGACTTTGTAATGAAGCTTCTCGGGAACACCACAAAGCAGATCACTACGGCAACCTACATCAAGCTAGCATGGGCTGTCGTCATTTCCTGCAATACTGGCAGCAACGACACTGTCTTTGGCGTTACAGTCAACGGCCGAGGTGCTCCTATCGACGGGGTCGGTGAATTGACCGGTCCAACCATCGCCACCATCCCACAGCGTATCAAGCTGTTGCCGGACCAGAGTGCGACGAGTGCATTGGCCGAGATTCAGAGTCACTCTTTGGAGGTCATCCCTTATGAGCAAGCCGGTCTACAGAATATTCAAAAGTACTCGCCCGAGGCAAGGTCTGCCTGTATGTTCCAAAGCCAACTGATCATCCAACCTTGTCCTCCGAGCCCGCCGGATCTCTTCGAGGCTTGCGACTTTTCTGCAACTCAGACGGGTGGATTCTCTGCTTACGGCCTCTCACTCGAATGTCAGATGACGTACGATGATCGCCATTGCGAAGTCACCGCGACCTTTGATCCTGGCATGATCAGTCGGGAGCGTGTGCAAAGGCTGCTGCAGCACCTTGAACTAGTCTTGCAAGACGTCATGGCAGATCCCTCACGCAAAGTCGGCGATTTGCCTCGGATGAGTCGGCAAGACTGGGATCAGATACAGCGATGGAGTGGCACTCTGCCCCCAGTCTCGAGGCAGTGCGTGCACGATGCTGTCGACGAACGGTATCTGGAGTATCCCAATGCATGTGCGGTGTCTGCTCCCGACGGAGATCTCTCCTACGCCGAGCTGATACATTCAGCTAACGCCGTGGCGGCTGAATTACTTGCCCACGGTGTCGAACCGGGCAAATATATCCCAGTGTTGTTCGAGAAGTGCAAGTGGTCGCCAGTGGCTATGTTGGGTGTTTTGAAAGCAGGCGCCGCATTTGTCCTCCTTGACCCTTCCTACCCTCCCCAGCGTCTCCATGCCATCTGCGGAGGCTTGAAGAGCCAAATTATACTATGCTCAAAGGGTTTGTCTGCAAGAGCAGCCTCGCTCGGTCCCACGGCCATAGCTGTTCACGAAAATGCCACATTCCTGGTGGATATTCCCAACGCCACTCTCCCCGTTGTCAGCCCAGAAGACCCAGCATATGTGGTATTCACATCTGGGTCAACAGGTACGCCAAAAGGCGCAATTATCGACCATCAATCATATTGTTCCAGCGCATTAGCCCACAACCGCGCCCATTTCCTTGGTCGCAACTCGAGAGTGCTGCAGTATGCTTCCTACGCCTTCGACGTCAGCATTATGGAGACGCTTAGCACACTCATGGCTGGCGGGTGTGTCTGCATACTATCCGACTTGGAGCGCCATGATCACTTTGCCGACTCTGTTCAGAGGCTGGCAGTCACACATGCATTTCTGACTCCTTCTACCGCCCGACTGCTAATGCAGCGAGAGCTCCCGTCGCTATGCGTGCTCGTCATGGGTGGAGAGGTGATGTCACTTGCTGACCGCAGCTACTGGATGAAACGTGTTCGGTTGATGAACGAATACGGTATTGCAGAATGTTCTGTGGCGTCTACCATCAGGGAGGTCTCGGATGTCGAGCAAAGGGACATTGGCTTCCCGATGGGCGTCCTGGCCTGGGTTGTCGATCAGAACGACCACGAGAAACTAGTGGCAATTGGAGCCATTGGGGAGCTGTTGCTTGAAGGACCCTCGGTGGGTCGAGGATACTTGGATAATCCAGAAGCCACCCGGCGGGCGTTCATCGAACAACCAGGCTGGCTCCGGGCTGTGCGCGGTGGGAAGACAAGTCGAGTTTACAAAACCGGCGACCTGGTCCAGTACAACGAGGATGGCTCATTGAGTTTCATAGGTCGGAAGGACTCGCAGATTAAGATCCGCGGGCAGAGGTTCGAGTTGGAGGAGGTCGAGCAGCATCTTCGCCGGATCGATGAGATCAAGGAAGTAACGGCAGTCGCTGTAGCGCCTTCCGATAGGCAGAAGCAGGCATATCTGGTTGCGTTCATTGTCCCGAGAACCCGCGAATCCTTCTGTGTCCACTCTGCAAAGGCACTCGTCACGCATCCTACAGAGGAATTCCGCCACCTGGCGGCAGCCATTCAATCCAAGCTGCACTCGATACTCCCAGCCCACATGGTGCCGTCGATTTATCTTCCAGTGAACCAAATGCCAAAGACAAGCAGCGATAAGGTCGACCGCTGCAGACTGAAGGAGGAAGTGGGAAAATGGTCTTGGTCTGATCTCCAGGCGTACAGTGTCTCGAGCACGTCACGCAGGGCTCCCTCCAACAGCGTCGAGCAGGATTTACAGCGGGTGTGGGCGCAGATCCTCGGGATCCGCCTGGACAGCATTGGCGTTGAGGACAGCTTCTTCCACCTTGGAGGAGACTCCATAATTGCCATGCAAGTCGTTGCAGAGGCGCGCTCTCGCGGTCTTGATCACTCCGTCCAGGACATCAATCAACTCAAATCTATCAAAGCAATTGCCAACAAGATCGGGGTAGTTTCCACCATCGCGCAGCCTGTTGTACAGGACCAGGTGACGGATGAACTCTTTGGCTTGACGCCGATTCAAGAGTTCTTCTTCGAAAAGTACCCGGAGGGGACATGCCGATTCAACCAGAACATCCTGGTTCATTTCCAAAAGCCGGTTGCAGACATCGATGTCGAGAGGGCAGCAAATAAGTTGGTCCAAAACCACGCAATACTACGGGCTCGCTATGCCCGGCAGAAGGACGGATCTTGGAAGCAGTTTTTTACGGGTTACACCGAACAATGCTTTCGTTTCAGCATGCACAAGGTCAATTCAGTCCAGGAGATGCGCCATATAATCGGCCAAAGCCAGACGTCGCTGGACCCGGAACATGGCCCAGTCTTTACCGTAGATCTGTTCGACCATAACGGACAGCAGTCCCTTTTCATGATTGGACATCACCTGGTACTTGATCTTGTCTCGTGGCGGATCATCCTGGCTGATATGGAGGCGATGATTCTTGACCCTCAACACCAGCCCCATCTCACAATGTCTTTCCAAACATGGGCTCGTCTGCAGGCTGAGTACGGCACACGTCATCTGGAACCACCACCCGTTCAGCAGCTCTGCAGTATAGACGAGCCCTCCATGCGAAAGTTCTGGGGGGCGGAGAACAACGCAAACACAGGGGGAGACTCCAAGACTAGGCTGATCCGCGTGAACGAGCAACTCACAAACAAGCTCTTTGGCCCATCCAGCCAAGCTCTGGACGTCGAACCGGTTGAGCTACTCCATGCAGCCATCCTCTTCTCTTTCGTAAACACCTTTCCTCAGCGCCCTGCTCCCTGCATCTTCGGTGAAGCTCACGGCCGCGAGACGTGGGATTCCTCCATCGACGTCACCCGCACGATTGGCTGGTTCACCACCCTCTGGCCTGTGGTCGCACAGGTAAACCCGTCCGATAGTCTCGAGACGGTTGTGCGGACCGTGCGGCAAGCTCGACGGGCGATGGACATGCACGGATGGAAGCATTTCACATCGATATACCATAACACTCAGCAGACGAAATGCAGCGCCGGGACGCACTTAATGGAGATCACCTTCAACTACGCGGGAAAGTTCCAGCAGGTCGAGCAGGACGGTGCTCTCTTCCGCATGGAGCCGATGGCGAAGCAGAATCTGTTTGATGGCGCGGCCGAGCTGGGTCGGTGGGCCATGCTTGAGATCAATTCGGTTATTCTTAACGGCATGTTGGAGTTTCATGTCACCTATAACCGAGGGACTGATGAGGCGAGTGTTCTGACTCCGTGGATGGATAATCTGGTGAAATGCCTTGAAGATCTTGCCAGCGGTTTTGCTTAGATGGTTGATTTAGGGTATTTACTCAGATGTCATGTATAGTAGTTGTTCTGATCACATAAAGATTGACAATAATGAGGTCGTAAACAGGCAACATCCTGTTCTGAATGCGACGACCGTGATGACCTCCTCAGCACATCCTGGTCCCACGACATACTCAGCGTGATGTAAAAAGAACTGAGTATTTTTTGTAATTGCAGCTTTAATGTCATCCACCTGCTGCTATTAGTCCGTGCACGAGCCAAGGTGAAGTTCCAATTCTGCACCATATGCCAACAGCACGTCCACCATCTCTTCATCAAGCCTCCCCTCCCCCAATAGAGTGGTGAATAACCATTTTCATATCTGCAAATACCTTCGGGCTCCCCATCTGTGCAGCATGGATGAGCGGTGTTGCTCTAGTGACGTCTCGGCATTCAATATCCTCCCGGGCATAAGGAGTTGAGATCTGCGTATCCTAGACGATGTGCTATCAAGGCAAGCAGTTCATTAGATAGACTAAGCAGTCCCATGATTGCAATCAGCAAGAAGCAGGAAATGTGCTGGAACATGAGACAATTTGCAGTAAACAAGCACTGCTACATTTATCAGGGGCAGCGCAGGAAGAAATAGGGACCAGTTGTGCTTGCTTTTCTCGAGGTTCTTCGATTAACTTCTTCAACAATTCGATTATCTTATCAAGAAATCAGAATATCATTTGTGTCCATCAGCTTCATCGATTTAGTGGCTGCACTGACTGCACTGATGAAGGACCTGAGCAGCTAAGCTTTAGGCTAAGAACAATATCTCTCCTCTTTTATGCCGGCCGTCGAGATCCGAGACCCATACTAGGCTCCAGGCCTTGAGACTCGCGAATATATGAGCCTTCAGAATAGAGACAGTGCACCTCACGGACCGCCGGCATTACTGACTATCAATCAACCCCAAATGGTCTTCGAAACAGAAAGAGACAGGCAAAGAAATACTCATTTACAGACGAGTGTACTTGCTACCTGGATGTAGAGATTGTGTGTAGAGCAACTGATAGTGGTCTTTCTATGTGTGATAGGGTGATCTCTCGTCTGCTGGGTCTTTGAGGTATACTATTGGTACTGTCCTTTCTTTGCAGATGCTTCAATCAAGGCAGCAATATCCAGATACCCAAGCTCATTCGCATACATTATAGCATTCTTGCCGGTGTGATCCGTGATCGCAGCATCGATCATAGCATGACTCAAAAGAGCTTCCACAACAGCTCCCTGACGCATTTTGGCCGCAAAGAAAAGCGCCGTCCTGCCCTCATGCTCTTGTGCATTGACGTCCGTACGGGAATCATCCAAGAATAGTTGCATAAGACTCACGGATTTGTTAAACGTTGCCCAGATCAGAGGTGTCCAGCCCGCGTTGTCTTTGCAGTTGACATCAATATTGTCTTTCGCTAACAGGAGCTTTAGTACACCATGGTGACCGTCCCATGATGCACAGTGAAGTGGTGCCGTGCCGATCAAGCTCGAATGCCCCGGGTTTGTACGGCCATCTTCGAGGAGTACCCGGACAACGGCCTCATGACCAGCCTGCGCAGCCCAGTGAAGGGGCAACCAGCCTCGACTATCCGCCAGGGTCGGATCGGCATCATGTCGAAGTAACAAGGCTGTCATGCTTTCACGGCCAAGGTCCGCCGCGATGGAAAGTGCCGTGCGACCCAATTGATCCTGGTAATTCACATCTGCACCTCTCTCGATCAATAGCTGCACGATCGCCACGCAGTCGCCTCTGACAGCGTACGGAAGCGCCCGTTTGCCCTCGGAGTCTTCTGCGTCGACGTTGCATGACGGCATATGCAGAAGCATTTTTGCGATCGTCTCGTTGCCATGCAGTGCCGCTACCATCAGAGCTGTTCTGGAGTCCTCCGTGCAGCGGTTTAGTTCGATCCTCTCGTCTTCGCACAGCACTTGCACTACAGCAACGTGACCTGCGCCCGTTGCCGAGATCAGCGGCGTTGCGCCGTCTTGTCGTTGGCGGTTGATGTCGACGTCCGGTCTGGCGAGCAGTCTCTCCACAACCGCCTGGTGGCCATTACAGCAGGCCCACCAGAATGCTGTTTGCCCGGATGTGTCGGGCTGGTCGGGGAGAGTCCTAGGGTGATCCAGGAGGAGGTTCACGGTGTCGAGCGCGCCGGTCTGCGCTGCTACACTCAGGGCAGTTTCATGGAAGATGTTAGTTGCGTTTGGGTTTGCGCCTTTAGAGAGAAGTAGCTGCGCGACTACACGATGTCCCTTTTCGGAGGCAAGCATGAGCGGTGTCCCGCCGTAGTGTTTGAGGGATTTGATGTTGATGTCTGCGCCGCCGTGTTCGAGGGCGTATAGAGCTGTGGATAGATTCCCGGTTTCGGATGCCCATATCAGAGCACTGCTTCTGTTGTGCAGGGCGTTTTGGCGATAGAGGCACCGGTTTGCAGGGATGTGTAGTCGGTGATTTGTTTGGGAGAAGGCGTTGATGTCGCGTTCGGAGAGGATATTTTGGGTGAGGACCTCTAGCAGGATGTCATCGGGGAGGTCACAGAGTGTGATCATGATGTGGATTGATTTGTTCGAGTACTTGTTCTTCCTGCATTTGGGCTCGCAGGTTATCCCTTAGCCTTTAGGTGGCCTCAAATCATGCTCCGCCTCAACGAATACGAGAATAGCCCTTCGACGCAGGAGCTTTCACTCGGCATCACCGATGATCGGACTAGGCTAGGATATTTCGATTATAATATCAACAATAAATTGCTCCAAATCTACTTGTAGCCCCGCAAAAGTCTTTAACCGTGTTTCTCCATTCGAACTGCCTAGCTTCAAGATGGAACAGGGATACTGGACAAGGCAGCCGAGAACAGGCATAGCTCGGCATGACGGATCCAATCAGCAGATAACGAAGAGATCATCATGTCTCCGCACGACGCCGATCATATATGGATATGTATCTTAATGAAGCAAGGGATGTCGGATAACGCGGGGTATAAGTATTCGCCCACCCCGCAAGGACATAAGACAGTCCAACACTCTACCACATAGTCCGGTTGAGCAAATAACAACATGCAGATGAGAGGTAAGTCTACACCATTCATAATGATCAATCTGACAATAATATAAGCTCCCACCAGCCTCAATGGCCTCATTGAGCAGTACCGACCAGACCTAATCCCCTTCGAGGAAACATACAAACAAATCCACCGCTCCCCCGAACTCTCCGGCCAAGAGGAACAAACCTCCACAATCGCCGCCTCACACCTGCAAAACCTCGGCTTCGAAGTCCACACACACATCGGCGGGTATGGCCTCGCAGGGGTTCTACGCAACGGCCCCGGCCCAACCGTCCTCCTCCGCGCAGACATGGACGCCCTCCCCGTCGAAGAGAAAACCGGCCTGCCCTACGCAAGTACCAAAACAGCCACAGACCCGGACGGGGAGACCGTCCCCGTGATGCACGCCTGCGGGCATGATACCCACGTCGTGTGTCTTATGGCGGGTGCGAGCCTGCTGCACGCGGCGCGGGAGCACTGGTGCGGAACACTGATCTGTCTCTTCCAGCCGGCGGAGGAGCATGTGAGCGGTGCGCGGGCGATGATCGAGGACGGGCTGTACGACAAAGTCCCCAAGCCGGATGTTGTGCTTGCGCAGCATCTGGTGCGGATGAAGACCGGGACGGTGAGTCTGAGGGCTGGACGGTTGCTGACGGCGGCGGATGGGATCGATGTGCGGGTGTATGGGCGTGGTGGACACGGCTCGGCGCCGCAGTCTTGCATTGATCCGATTGTTATTGGGGCCGCGATCGTGACGAGGCTGCAGAGTATTGTGAGTCGGGAGGTGACGCCGGGGGAGTTGGCGGTTGTCACCTGTGGCAGTATCCATGCCGGCCACAAGTCGAATATCATTCCGGATCAGTTGGATTTGAAGCTCAGTGTGCGGACGTATGATAAAGACACTCGCGAGAGAGTCATCGCGGGGATTGAGCGGATTGTTGAGGCTGAATGTGCGGCGGCTGGTGTCGTGGAGAAGCCGTCCGTTGATATTGTGTCTTCCACGCCGGCTACCATCAACGACGAAGCTACTGTGCGTGCGCTCAAGGAGACCTTTGGCGCCTACTTCAAGGAGAACCTGGTGGACTCGGAGCCTATCGCAGCGAGCGAGGATTTCTCCCTGCTGGCGACCGCGGTTGGGGCGCCGTACGTTATGTGGACGTATGGCGGCGTCGACGAGAAGACATGGGAGGACGCCGTGGCCAGGGGGACGGTGAACGAGCTGCCGAGTAACCATTCGCCGTTCTTTGCGCCGTGTATCCAGCCGACTCTGCGGACGGCCGTTGATGCGATGAGCCTGGGGGCGCTGACCTTTCTCCGGCAATAGCAACTCCAGTAGACGAATGCATTAACTCCAGACTGGTGTGGGTTACTATGCCTCAGTAGAAACATGAATGATAATCTTCCCTCTGGCCCTCCCCGAACGCAACTTCTCAAACGCCTTGACCGCATCCTCCAGCTCATACGTGCTGTCGACCTCCACGCGCAGCTTCCCCTGCTGCATCCACTCCCCCAGCGTCGTAATATCCCCCTTATTACACTTCAGCATAAAAATCACATACTTCCTCCTCCCACCCCCCAAGAACCCGGGCCTCACCACCCGCCGCACAAACGTAAGCATCGACACCGCACCAACCTGCACAAACTCCTTCCCCGGAAGCAAGAACGCATGCGACTGCGAGTACAGCCCCTCCGGCAGCCCAATATGGTCGACGACATGCGCATACACCTGCCCCCGGGCACGGAGGACACCCAGCACATCCTCCTGGGTATAGTCAATGACCTCATCGGCCCCCAGATCCTTGCAGAATTGCACATTGCGCGTCGAACACGTCGTCGTGACGGTACACCCCAGCGCCTTGGCAATCTGGATCGCGAAGATCCCGCACCCGCCCGAACCCCCGTTGATAAACACCCTGTCACCTTGCGAAACATACGGCGCGATAGACTGGTACGCCGTCTGCGCGGCGACGCCTACGGTGGCTGCGTGGTCGGGTGCTACCCCGTCGGGCAGGAGAGCCACATTCGCTGTCCCGCAGAGGAGGTACTCGCCCAGCGAGCCGAACTGCGTAGGCGCAGCAGTTGTCCCGTAGACGAGCTGGCCGGGTTGGAAGGCTGTGGCGCCGGGGCCGGCGGTTACTACCTGTCCGCAAAAGTCCATTCCCGGGGTGGCGGGATAGGCCACAAAAAATCGGGGTACGATGGGCATTTCGGGGACTTTGTAGTCGGCTGGGTTGATGGAGGCTGAGATGACTTTGATCAGCAGTTGGTCGTGGCCTGGTGGGCCGGGGGTGCGGGCGGATGTGCTGAGCTCGAGGTTTTTCTCGAGGCCTCCGGTGGTGTTGGTGTAGAGCCAGGCTTTCATTGTCGAGGGGAGGTCCATTTTACCAATTTGATCTACTGATGAGACTGTTCTGGTGATGGAGTAGAGAATAACAAGATGTGTGTGGTGTTAAATATGACGTTGTTGCACTACGCAATGTGTCCATTATGATTTGCTCGGATAGACCATTTATCAATTTCCTAATGTGGTAATCAGGGGGTATAACCAACAAAGTCAGAACTGTACAATTATACTCGAAATTAGACATTATACATAGAACTGCTATGATCATGATTGACTGCAATAACAGCCACGGGCCACTGCATCAACGACATCAACTCCCTCTCTCCCGACATATCCACCAACGCTTTAATCTTCACAATCTCCCCATCAAACCCCCCCTTAACATACCAAACAGATTCAAACAGCGAGAAGAGAAGATGAAAGTACGCCAGAATCACATACGACAGCGTCGAAGATACCCCGCTGCCAGCCAGAGTATCTAAGTATCCCTCGGGCAGAAACTCCGCCCAAGCCATGAGCGCCGCGTCTTCCAGATCAGCCTGCACATCAAGCGGCGACTCTCGCGCCTCGTCTGAAAAGTGCACGACGTACAGCGTCCGCATGTACATGCCCTCCAGGAGCTCCAGGGCAGTCTTCTGCTCCTCCAGGACCTGCCCCTCCCGGGCGGCCAAGGACGCATGGTATCCAACCAGCTGAGTCAAGGCCGCATCCGCGCCGCGGCAGAACGCAACCAGACGCGGCGAGCACCCTCGACGCATGGAAGACACTGAGCGAAGCGCGCCCCGCGGACACAGTCGCCAGTCGTCATTCGCGTAGCTGTACTGCGTCATGGCTCGCAGCGGGCCCATGCGCACCTCCGGCCAGTTGTGCTTGATGACGGTGCACAGGCCATGGATGAGGAAGATCCAGTCGAGGCGGGGCTGGCCGGGCTGCGAGTGCGCGTCGTTCAGGTTCCGGATGCGGAGGGACGCGAGCGCGAACGCGACCAGCAGCATTGAGCCCGCGAACACGAGGTTGAGATTCGCGCTGGACAGGTTGGCGAGCTCCGTCCTGAATGCTTCCAGGCCGCGTTGGTGGTGCTCGATAATGATCTGGAGGTATGTGGCGTCCAGGGTGTGGTTGTGGCGGTGGTCGTGGTCGGCGTTGGCTGGCGAGGGCTGGCCCTCCATGTCTGGAGACGTGTTTTCTGGCTGCTCACCGGCCGTCCTGGCCGAGGCGTAGTCCAGCCCCGCCAGGGCAAGGAGGAGATGCATGAGCGCCTCGCTCCGCATGGCGAAGCGGGGAATGACGGTTTCCCAGATGTGTTGCCGGCGCGAATTCAGCGTCATGTGCTTGGAGGTGTGCAGCATGAAATGCGAGTGGAGCTGCAGATCAACCATGTTCAACTCCCCGGGGAGGGAAATCGAACGGCCACCGGCTGCATCTGATGCGATATCAAACTGCAACGGGTGTGGTGACGCTGTGTCTGGATGCGGTGCCCTGCGCTTGGGTTGATCTTGGGGTGCTCTAGCGCGGCGGGAGTCAGTCTGTGACCGGGGCGTATCATGTCCTTGAGAGTCTGTCTCGGCGGGCCAGTCACACGGTTCTCCTCTCAAGGCACAGTTACCGCATGTTGGTTTGATTTCGTCGCACTGGAGGTGTCAGCGTCGACCGTCCTAGGCAGTGGAATGCGGATTACGGAATACAGACCTTGACTCGGCGACCCTTGCAGGTAAAGCACCCTTTGCGCGACTTGGTGTGCCTAGCTCGTATTCTTCTGCGAGTGCTTCTATCGGAGTGGCTGTCTGTTGCCATTTGATTCTGTCGCCTCTTCTGATTGATGATATACAATGGATGAGGGAGTCGGAATATCTCTTGATCAAAAGAAGTCCGTTTGTTCCGTTTGCTTCATCCTTAGCGCCAAGACAATGTATCCCACAGTATTCAGGCACACAATAGACACAGGCACCGTATAACAGGATAGATATTAATCCATATTATAATAACTATATTATATTATTATTGGAAGCTAATCATCGGCCTCTACTACCCCTACTGAAGGTCGGTGGTATCAATGGTGCACTTCTTACCCGTCCAACCAGAGATATATATTTCTACCAACTATTTTGCACACATGCTTCAACCAAGGCTCTAATGCAGAGTAAAATCCAGAAAACCACTCCCCTGAAACCCCTCCGCAGTCAACATCTGAAAGACTGGATTCCCTGGCTGCAACCCCAGCTGCTTCCAGCGGTTAAAATGCGCCGTGACATCGACGGTGCCAGTCGTGCGATGGGACCGACGAACCGACCACAGCTGGTTAAAGTTCGTGGTGCCATAGATCTCCGGCACATTACGGTAGGGAAGCATGTAGACATCATACACGCCATCATTAGCATACACCTGGCCCAGGATGTGGCCGTTGCCCGGGGTGCCCGTGCCGTGCGCCTCGACAATGTACCACTCGGTGACGGGGTTGGTGGTCCAGCCGTAGACGGCGAGGGTGTAGTCGCCTTGAGCGGAGAAGTGGCCGTCCCAGGTGAGGGTGCTGTAGAAGTGCGTTAGCTATAGCTATAAAGGGGGGACGGATACAAAGGATAACTGCATACCGGGTACTGCCCCCACGGAAGCCCTTTCCGCCGAGGAACTCGCTGCTGAGAGGTAGGGTCCAGCCGAGCTTGAAGTGCCCGCTGTTGGGGTCCTCGGTGTAGCCGGCGCCGGCGTGGTTGTCGTTGTACAGGGAGTAGTAGTAGCCGGCAGCATTCACGCCGTCTTTGCTGGTGCGGATTGTGGTGTCGCGACGATCGAGGTTTCCGTCAGTGGTGTTGAAGATGATTTCTCCCATATGTTGGAGGAAGCCAAAGGACTTGGTGGCTTCGATGGTGGCCTTCGTGGTAGGATTGGGGGAGGCGAGCGCCCCGAGAGCAGGGAGGAGGAGCAAAAGTCGGCTGAAAGCGACCATTTTGAGAACAATGATGCTAGTCTGTCTTTTCAGCACTTTCGTCGACGGGCCCTCATGGTTAAATAGTTGTCGCGTTGGGCTGTTGTCAGGAAATATGCATTCTGACCCTGAACTCAGAGACCCTTAATTGTGATAGACAGCGTGGGTCTCATCTATATGAGCTTGAAAAAGAGTTGCTGCCTTTTCCTCTAATTACAACATCTTGCAAGTTAGGAGCCGACATTCATCAGGCCACAGCTCACCAGGCCCGCTTCTACGGCCGTTAGGACCAGGGCTAAGACTAGCTGTTTCACCGTGCTACAACGGCAAGACCAAGCCAAGCGGGACAGGGTCTCAGTGGATCCGTAGTAGGACCCTACCGAAGCCTCAGGAGATACGGCAATGTTCCGAAATACACGGATCCACTAAAGATCTTCTATTGCTTGAATCATCCCTCGACATCTGATTTAACGCTTGTGATAGAATCCGAACGAGTAGTCTAAAGACGAAACAATAACACACTCCAAGCCATATACCAGCACATGGGCCGATATGTCGGACCCAATAGCAAATCACCTAGATAGCTGACTACCAAGAGGAACTGCATCCTCGGCCCATCGCGACCGTCGCGAGACAAACGAGCCCGGGAAGACAAGACCAAGCACGATACCAGTCAGCGCCATCAACGCCGCGTCGAAGACGTAGAGGAGATACTCATGGCTCATGATGAAGCCGGCATTGCCCTGAACGAACTCGACGACTCGGAAGACGGAGCGAACGAGGATCAGCACACAGGCGGCGTAGAGGGCCCACATGAGAGTCGGCCAGGCGATCCCAGAGCCCTGGGATCTGAGGTCTTTCGAGACGGTATACTTTGGATGACGGACGACGCGCCAGTGGAACAGCGATGCGACGACGATGAAGAAGCCGAACCAGAGTAGCTGGATTGCGAGACCGATGATGACGATGTGTTCGCCGTTCTTCATGGCGTCGAGTGTGCCCGCCGCCATGTATCCGCCTCCTGTGATGTATCAGGATTAGTGAGTGGGTGCCATGGATGGACGGGACAAGGGCTCTTACCTCCGCACTGCAACAGAAAGGAAATCACATCCCCCACGACGAAGATCTTGGTCAGCCAGCGTACTCGAATTAGGGAGGCGGGCTCCGCGTCCAGCTTCAGGATCACTCGTCCGAGAGTCATGTAAATGGAGGCGGCGAACAAGGGGGGAGCGACGAGAATCAACATCGTCTGGACGATATATGGACCCAGGGCGGTTGGATCGAAGTGGGAGAAGATGCGAGCAATGTAACCTGTTGTTTCAACTTTTGATTGTCAGCATTTCATGATGATGGTGGCAACCTGTGAAGACATACAAAGAAGACCAATGATGAAAGGGACGAAGAAGTATGCCCTGTGTTTGACGATGCGATAGAGATACCCCATGGCCAGCAGACCAAAGACTACCGCCATGATTGCAGCAGCTGGAATTGAAGGAACATAGCGGTATAGTTTGTAGACAAAGCCGTTGTCTGCCATTGAGCCCTACGCCGCTGGCTCGGGATACAGCTGTGGGCTGATACAAACTGCCTCAAGAACGTAAGAGATGAACATTCCGAGGTCGTCCATCGTGGTATTTGAGAACTCGCAATTCTAGTTCGATTCCATTATCGCCGACTCCAAAGGTAGTCTGGATACGAATGTACGAAGGTACCTAGGGTATACGGATATACGAGTATACGAATATACGAATATACGCGAGCCAAGTGTGGCGCCAACAGTCCAGGTCTGTCAATTTATTTTTTCTGTCGATTGATTGGGCCGGCTGAAACTAGACGGCTAGAAATCAACTAATTCCCAATAATAGCTGTTGGGCTGTCCGCGGACACCGAGCATATATCAGTCTTGCAGAGTTTTCTAGACCCTGAGTCTGGACATGTTGATCAAAATTGATCGAACACCCTCGAGCCTCAATTACTCCAGAGCTCTGTGAGAAACCTTCTACTAACCAGGCAGAAGTGTAGAGACTTGCATTGGATACGCTTAGCTTGATGTCCTCTGAAGTACATACAATCTAGTTCGGAGCTTGCTTCCACCGGAGAAACCATGTGGATAGCAGGGCAAAAAGAGAGGAAAGAATGGAATCAGTTGTCTAAAAGGTAATAAGAGCGCGCAGAGGAATCACGCTGCTCCAACGCTAACGAGAAGCTCCACCTGGCCACGACTAAATACACTGGTAATAGTAAGGGTTGTACTGGTGGCAGGTAGTGCCCGTCTCACACGAGCCAGAACCAGTCCAGTTCAGACCACCACACTGTGCCCATTTCTGGAGGGTGCCGCCCGGGGCCACAGCGGACGAAGAAACTGAGCCACCACAAACTGCTCCTGCTCCTGCTCCTGCTTCTGCTCCTGCAGTTGGTTTGGCGGGGGATTTGGAGAGAGTCGTCATTGTCGTGGGAGCGGCTGGAACAGCATTGTTGTTGACAGCCGGCGCAGTAGGACTGGCGCCTCCCACCGAGCCACCAGTCCAGACGGACGGGCCGGGGAGGTTGTACGCCGTAGGAGTAGGATACCAGATGTTAAAGTGAATGTTCGGGTCTTCAGGCTTGTACACTCCAGGAATCTTAACGACAGGACTCGGCGATCCCGACCCAGAACCCGTCACCTCGATCTGAGCGCAGGTGAAGTAGAACTCGGACTCGCCGAGGAACCCTCGGTGCAGGCCAATATGCTCCACGCGGACAAGATACTGCCCGGCCGGCGTGTCTTCAGGGATCTTGAAGGACGCGGTATCCTTGCCCCATGTACACCAATCCTCATCCACGATCCCCTTGGAGGTGTCGGCGCAGAGGCCTTCCTGGTGGACCTTGAACCAGTCGCCGGAGCCGTCGTACGACTTGACGTCGCCCGGGGCCTTGGACATGTAGATCTGCAGAGGACCCGGGTGCTTCATCTCGGCGCCGTACGCGAGCTGGAAGCCGAGCTCCGTGCCGGGGGCCACCGTATATACCTTGGTACTGGCGGCGGACTGCATCGAGCCCTTGTTGCAGCGGAAGTCATTGCTGAGGATATCCGAGGGGAGGGTCGGCATGTAGCCGTTGGTGTTCTTGCGGATGTACTCGAAGTCCTGGGTGGGTTTGCCGTCGACAATGAGCTTGGAGAAAACGTAGTGCCCCGAGACCAGCGGGGTGACGCTCGCAAGCGAGAAAAGAATGGACGAAGTAAGCTTCATTTTTTTAAAGTGCAAACGATCTAGTTTGCTGAGAGAATGGAAGGAAGGAAATAGAAGTGAAAGACAGGGATAGCTAGAAAAGAATGAACGAGTTTGACCAGCCATAGGAACAGTGACGGCGCTGGACATACCTTATATAGTCCGTCCTCAGAGCTATCAGCTCGGTTGGCACCCATGTATGAATTGAAACCAAATGTTTCACACTTACTTCGGCTATCTTAGCACAGAATAGGCTAAAGTCATCCAACTGATGTTCAGGGTAGACTTTTAAGGATCTGATCCACCCTAGTGCTGTAAGACGCTCCACCCCCCTAGGCTAGACTTGACCAGATGAGACAATAGATACAAGCCCGCGACAAACGAGACAAACGCCTATCTACATCCTCGGCAAATATCATGTCTTAGATCCAGCTCGAGTGAACTATTCTGGCCTAAGGGCTTATGACGGATGCAAAGTGGAGAATCAAGGGAAATGTGGATAACAATTCCAGGGCTGACGGTTCCTGAAAGAGGCGAGCTATGTTTCAGATACATGGCACTTTATCATATTCAGCCACAACAAGAATCTCGGCCCTTCACTAAGCGCAGTCTGGATTTATTTCGGCAATGAAGCAGTCGACCAGAGCCGAGATTGGCCCATGATATTTGTGCTGCCTGCAAGAAGTACCAGTCAGGCCTGGGATGTTAGCTGGGATGGCTCCGTCTGCGGTGAGGCCGAAGCATGACCGAGACGTCAAGCACTGACTGAAACCTGCAATACGTTGCCGCGGTGGTCACTGTAGGATAGAGGGACATGCGAAGGACAGTGCCTGCTGGTCCAAAGCTGGCGTGCAAATGGCCAACGGCATGTATTGCCTGACACCCATTTTAGCCACAAGTAATCTGCAATTGCTTTTGGCTATAGAGACAGGGATGGCCACCTTATGAGGCCTACCTGCCCATCGGCAGGATTGTCCATATAGCTGAGGAGAGAAATACGATCATACGCATATACGATTCTAAGTCTGGTCTTGACTGGTTAAATACAAAAGTACCAATTCGATCGAGAGCCGAATAGTTTTAATCTTCTTTTTATGGTGCACTGTGCAACTGCCAAGTGACCAGTCGAGGCACAGAATGGTCAAGCTCATGGGTGATGATACCTTGTAAACTCCATTAGCATATGAAGAGCCAATGCTGCATTGTGGTCGTATAATGACATTATAAAGCTCTCAAAAGGTTTTGAGTTAGAGGCAGATTCCCCACGACTTTTATTACAACCAAGTCCCAACATTCCTCAAGCTCTGCCTAGGCTCACAGCGGCGTAACTCGATCCTTTGCGTAGATCAAATGCTCGTGTGGATTGTACGCGGTGCGAAGACCATGGCCGATGCTCATATGAACATGGCAATGCTGTTGATATTAGCCTCAACGCAAACAATACAAACGCAAGAAGGGACCAACGTACTCCGACCTCCCATGGCCTCCATCCCACACCCAGACAGTTGGGGTTGGGAGCACAGTCCTTCTCCAGGCACTCGAGAAGCGACGAGCGGTGGTAGACCTGTACTTCCTGTCCCATGACAGTGCGCACGAAGCATCTCTTTTTGAACACGACTCCAGCGAGGGTGAAGGTATCCTCCTGGCACACACCACCGCACATGTTCTGCCAGCTGTTGTCCCGGCACTTGGGGTCCTGGGCTGCGGCCGTGTCGGTAGGCTTCGTCGGCTGCTGGTTGTCCTGGCAGGTCTTGAGCTGCTGCTGCAGTCCCGCCTTGTCGCTCTCGCATTGCTTTGCTCCATCGGCGCCTTGCTGGCGGAGCTGTTCCTTCTCCGCCTCACAGTCCGACTTGCACTTTTGCAACGCGTCGTCGCGTTCCTGGCGCAGTTGAGATTTGTCCTTCTCGCATTGCTCGCGCTCTTTCTGCGCGGCTCCCTCGGCCTGTTTGCGCAGCTCATCCTTCTCCTTCTCACACTGCGTCTTGGATTCTGCAATGGCGGCTTCCTTCTGCTTCTGGCACTCACGCAGAGCCTCTTCTCCCTCCTTTCGGAGCTCATCCTTCTCCGAGGCACACTGCGCCTCGCCCTCTTTCTTCCCTGCATCAACCAGATCCTTGCAGTCCTTTGCACGATCCGGCTTCTCCGGCTCCTCGGGCGTCTTCTCGAGAATGAGGAACCCGGGGTTGGGGGTAAACCGGGTATACCCTTTGCTCGAGAGCAGGAAGCAGTGCGATATGCCGCTGCCCCACGAGCTGGCTTCGCAGCTTGAGTCGCCGGCACATAGCTGGGCACATTCCCTCGCGCTGGAGACTCCCCTGTGGGTTGTGCCATAATCACTGCCTTTCTTGAGGAATGTTTGGCAGGTATACTCGAACACAACCCCGCCTACAGTGCCTTTGCCGTTACTCTGGTTGGCACAGCATGCTTGATAGCCGGCTTTTCCTTTGGCGTCGGGTGAGAAACATGCGGAGGGATCCGAGGCCCAGGCTACCTCCAGAGCACAGAGGAGGGAAAGGATGGAGTGTTTTAATAGCATGTTTGCTTATACATGAAAGAATAGTAAAACTTCAATTGAGAGATCAAGTTTGGTTGGACTTCAGGGCATTATAAGCAACTGATAGTATTGTAGGACCTTGGGGTCAAGTCTGTCCGAACGAGAGCGCGAGTGGAAGCCACTCGACAGAGACAAAACCTAACAGAGAAGGTCAATAATCTGGTCGTCAGCACGGACAATCTGCAGCACTGCGAGGCGCCAAGGTATCCATAAGAGGTTCAGCTTGAAGATCCGTCTGTTTGTGACGTGTCTCATTCCTGCAGTACGCTGCACCTGCACGAGTCAGCTGAACCTAGGTGAAATCGAGTGTATCACACTCAAGACGGGCTCCACAATGTTCCAGCTGAGAAACATGTGTATCGCCAGGGTCTTCAGCTTAAGATTGATTGAATGTGGCAAGGATTGCCGACTACATTATCTACTCATGTCCATTCGCGGTACCTCTGGATCCAGTAATCCGTATCTTACTCCCCATGGGGAATCAATCGGCTCATTTGTGTCCGAGTGCTGTTGTGTCACATCCAGGCTTGTGTGGATATACGTGGACTATCTCATCTACGGAATCTATATCCGTAATGAGAAGTAAATGTCCAAAGAGATCTACATGAGACAAGCCATCTCAGCCAGCCACATCCACAGTATCTCGTCTACAAAGATTTACCACAGTGCGAGGCAATCCCAAGTTGACTACCAGATGGTATCCGGTGAGTCCATGTCGTACTGGGCAGCTCTTCGAATTAGGTTCACGCTGCATGGTCAGGTTACACTGCTGCTAACAACCTCACCATGCATTGACCAATTCAGGACCTATCGCTGATCATTACCAGACCAATCAGCAAATAGGGACCTCTCTCATTCCACTATTTTATCCGTCGGCTGTTGGCAGGATTATCCAGCCGTATTAAGCATGCTGAGGGATATCTGCACCCTCGAGTCAGCCGAGGAATAGCTGGGGTGCACGACCCACTGTCTATGAGACATTGGAACAAGAGCGACCTTGGAGGTTGCAGCTACTCTATTAGTTTCTGCTATTGGACAACCATCTGAGACATGGTGAACCACTGGTCTATGCTGCAGAGATCGGCAACTATACGGATTGTAGCTAACCATAGCAGATCGCGGGAATCGTCGGCCTGGCCCCGGCCCCGGAGTAGCATTTGCGAAACTAAAGATGTTAGTATTTCAGTATCGCTTTAATTTACGACACTTTTGTGTCAATTGGACTAACTTACCCTCGTTGTCAGCTGGCAATGATAGGTACGAATATCTTTTCCATAACCGCAGAGGAAAAGCAAACACAAACTCTATCTATTCGCGCTATGAAACAACGCTGCTAATTTACGGCCAATGGCAATGCTAGAATGGATTAAGCTAAGATCTGTTTTGCCAAAAGATGCAGACGTGCAGATGGGCGTCCCAGGATTCAGCTGAGCTGCACTAGACCAGTAGTCGTCATTACTGCTGCAATGCAGCTCTTCAACTCCTCTCGACCCACAATCCCCTCCTCTGGTAAGTGTGATAGCGGCTTAATCGTGCAGAAATCCAGTGGCCTATCTATGCTCTGACTCCATCCAGCAGTAGCCATATCCCTCATTGGGAGACCTACGTCAGTGGCGCCAGCGGGTGCAAGCAGGACTCTGTAGCTATCCAAGACACCGGAATCGCCGCGATGATCTTAGTACTCCGCACTGAGTACAGTCAGTGGCTAATCATCTCGAAGAGCTGAACGCTGAGTTGTAATACCAGGTCGCATAGTCAGGCATGCGGCCGACATCTCAGTCCTCGTGAGCTGCTATAAAGATCGTCAATTCACAGCTTCGTGGCTTCTGTTTCTCGATCATCTTCCCTCTCATCCTTCTATCTCTACCTTCTTTCTGCAGCGAACACCCGTCATGGTCAAAACAAAGTCCCTCTGGGCACTTGTCCTGGCACTGTCTGTCCAGACACAAGCCAGGCAGTTCCCCCTCGGAAAGTCCAAGTACACCCTGGACGATATTCGCCCATTGACCGATCCCTCTTCAGGCCTGGTCAAGTGTTGCCCCGAAGGAACAGAGTTCGATGGCAAGGCCTGCGTCCTCGGTGTACCTACTTGTCCCGATGGCTTCATCCGCAAAGAAGACAAGTGCGTGTCCACGGTGAAGCCCATTTGTCCCGAAGGCAGCGAATACGACGGCAAAGTCTGCATCTCCACCTCGGAGCCAACCTGCCCACCTCCGACCTTATGGAAGGGCAAGTCCTGCGTGACTGGACCTCCCACCTGCCCGTCTGGTCTCGTGTATAATGGCAATGTGTGCCAGTCGAAGGAGGGCCCCAGATGTCCTGAGACCTACACGTTCAATGGCAAGACGTGTGTCAGTGTCAAAAAGCCCCAGTGTCCCGAAGGGTTGGCTTTCCAAGACGGACACTGCGTCAGCGATCGTCCCCCTGTCTGTCCAGCAGGCACGGAGTACCACAAGACATTGAAGGTGTGTATCTCTGTCTCCGGGCCCGAGTGCGAGGAAGGCAGCCGTGTCAAGGACGGGGTGTGTGTATCCGACATCAAGCCCTCTTGCCCTGAAGGCAGCACATTCCAACCCACCAGCGGGAAATGTACCACCACGGCCAAACCCGCCTGTCCGCCAACCTCCGAGCTGGACCCCGTCACCAAGAAATGTGTGCTCTCCGAGTCAGCCAGCTGTCCCCCCGGAAGTGACCTCTCGCTCGACGTGGCCTCCAACACCGCCCGCTGCTGTCCTCCGCAGATGACGTGGAATGGCGAAGTCTGCCTGATGGGAGTCGACGAGGACGGCAAATGCCCGCCGGGAATGACGCTCGTCGGCAAGTTCTGCCAGAAACAGTCCATCAAGGTCGCAACCTGCCCGCCCAAATCCAAACTCGAGGGCAATCGCTGTGTCTCAACCGAACCCCCCGAATGCCCGCCCTCCTACATCCTCGACGGCGCCACCTGCACCATGATCGAAAAGCCCCAATGCCCACCTGGCCTGATCCTCTCCGGCGAAAACTGCATCTCCTCCGTCCATGTCAGCTGCCCACCAGACACCAAATACGAGTCCGGCCTCTGCGTCAGCCTCTCCCGCCCCCAGTGCGAAGAAGGTTTCACCTTCGACGGCACACACTGCATCTCCACCACCCACAACCCCAAGTGCGACGACGACAACGCCACATTCAACGGCGAGGACTGCACCTCCGGCCACTTCCCCACCTGCCCCGAGGACACCATCTTCGACGGCACCCGCTGCGTCTCCAAGCTCACCCCCTCCTGCCCCGCCAACTCGGTCCCCAACGGCGAAGGCGACTGCGTCACCAGCTCGATCCCGTCCTGCGCCCCCGGCTCCACCCTCGTCGCCGGCGGCTGCGTCGTCGGCATCCCCACCTGTATCAAGGGCACCGTCTTCGACGGCAAGCAGTGCGTCAGCCCCAAGGACCCGGAGTGCCCGCCCGACCACAAGTGGACCAACGGGCGCTGCATCAGCCTCGTCACCACCGAGTGCGAACCAGGCTACACCCTCCTCAACGGGGAGTGCATCTCCGACCGCAAGCCCGAGTGTCCGGCCAATACTCACTTCGACGGCCAGAACTGCGTTGGTTCAGTGCCTGAGTGCGACCCCGGTCTGGAATTTGATGGCGAGGAATGCGCTTACCCCGAGGAGCCGACCTGTCCGGCGGGCATGCGCTTCAACGGGAAGAAGTGTGTTGGTGAGAAAGACCCCGTTTGCCAGCCTGGCACCGTCTATAGCAAGAAGGCCAAGGAGTGTCTTTCTATTGAGCGGCCTGCTTGTCCACCTGGCCAGGTGTTCAATGGCAAGCAGTGCGCTCTGGCGTCGGGTGATTGCATGAACTTTGAGTATTGTCCTCCGACGGGAATTCCTGAGTGCAAGCCTGGCTTGGTGTTCGATAAGCATACGGGCATGTGTGCTGATTGGTAGACGTCGATTGAGTATTGCAGATTAGCTTCGAGAGTTACCATATAGCATTGCCAAGTTTGTTGTCAGCTCTATAATAATCATATGGCTAAATTCCGGTGTAGGAATCACTTTAAGGAATACCAGCCATGTCATGTGATCCATTCCTACCCTAACTATTGAGCAGACATGGCCGACATTGTATATAGTTGCCAAACAGCGCACTTCGCTTAAGATCTGGATGTCATTTTTTACATATGGTACGCAGGCAGATTGTGGCTTTGATGCCTGCTAATGGTACATTTCTTTCACCCATCTGCCAGTATCCCAAGGTGGGTTGCTCCCGTCCAGTCTAATGTATGACCAGACCTGATGCAAGGGAAACACAGTTGATCATGATGGTTCCAGACAATGGCCCTGCTGATTTGCAGATGGCTGTGTCTATCAGGTGATGTCTGTTAAGACAGGAGTCAAACGCAGACCCATGATCAGGATTGGCGTAACTGGATAATATAGTCACGCGAGTAAGCTGCCATCGAAGACAGGATGTTCTTGCCCCATTGCATCATAGTAAAGAGCCAGACGGATACTGGCTGGTATGAACAGCCTTGTCCAAATGTTGAACCAGTTCGAAGGAAGGAGTATGCCGTGCAGTTTAGCTTGTCTTTCTATGCCACTGATGTGTCATGCAGTACTGGTTCAACAAGCTTCCAGTTCTTTCGTCATCTGGTTCCCCTGCCCCTCGGCATATCTTCATGGTATTGAAAGCAGTTGGGACATCGTGTACTTTGCTTTACTTCTGTGTTGTCACAGTCTCGGCTATTATAATCAAGACAGCGCCAACAAAAAACAAACGAACGGCTCAACCCCCGAGGGGGGAGCAAATCACAGTCTATATGACGCAGTTAGCCCAATACCGATACAGCCAGAAGAACGCAGACCCTACTTACCCAGAAAAGAACTGGACTGTGGCAGCCCAAAGACCTGCAGGAGCAGGCGCAGCCATTGGTGACCTGGGCGCAGACACAAAAGGGGGGGTCGGGGAGCTGGCCGGGGCAACGGGAGCCGACGCAGGGGCGGCCCCACGCGGCAGAGGACCGCCGCTCGCAGTGACCCGAGCCCGAAAAGCCTGAGCCGTGTGAGTGACGGCCTCGAGAGCAAGACCGGCAACACGAGGGTGGGTGACCTCAAGGGTCACCTGAGCAGTGATGATGGCATTGGCCTCGGGGAGGGCAGCAGCAGGGAACTTCAAAAAGAGAGCAAAATCAGTATCTGCGACGAGAACAGAGCATGAGGAAAACACACCGATTGGCAGGGCTGGTGTAGGGCCCGACAACGGAGGCACTTGGCCCCATTTTGGCTATAGCCGTTGCAAAACGGCAACGGCGCCCCCCCACCCCGGCCGGGCGCCTGCAGGCACCGGTAGCAATGCTCCTCTGCGGGAGCGCGGCCCGGACCGAGGAGGGGGGCGGGCAGCAAGGAGGCAGGCGGACGCAGGAGCCGAGATAACAACGCCAACCAGGGCGCCCCCCCGGCCGCGGAGCGCACCGCGCCCGCGGTGAGAGCACCTATAGAATGCTCTCTATCGTATGGTAGATAGCGTGGTAGTAGCAATGCCTTCGTAGTTGAACTAATCGCTGAGGTGCGAGCATCTCCCGCACCTCAGCGGAGACGATATCTCTGTGGGTCACGTGCTACCCACGTGACCACCCGCAGTTCGCTACGTACATGTTCTCTGCGCCTAGCAACTATAGGTAGGATGTGGTACGGATCGTGGACCGGGGGATCAGCGGAGATGTTGCTTCGCGGGAAGAGCAAGCCCTTGGCTCTCATCAGTTGCACGACAAACCAGAGGACTGTCAGTTCTGGGATCTGTATGCCTTTGACACCCAGGGACGCCGACGCGTGGCGCCGCTAGGGCCAGCAAGACAGGGAGCAAAAGAAGGCCAGGAATGGTGTAAATACCTCCCATGACTTCTTACAGAAGACCAGCTTCTAATAAGGCAACTAGCAACCTTGACCTTCATTCATTTCAGCATCATTGGGGTAGGAGCATTTATCATGGCATGTCTACTGAACCACTCTGGTTAGTTATACTAGTTCTTGCAGAGACTATGAGTCACTTACATCCTCTGTCATAGCAGTAGCTCAGCGCATAGCCAGGTCTTGCCAAGATGATAGAAGTACCACGCGGACTTGTCGTTCCATCCGCAATTGGCGCAGTAACCGGAAACAAGGCACGACCTTCCATTCTTCCACAAGTCGAGGGTGTCTCCGGCCACACTAGTAGGATGCAAGCCATTCAGAACCGCTCCAAGCAGTGATGACGGAGCTTGAACTCTGCTTTGACCATCGTAACCATCACAGAGTATCAGCCCGCTCAGTAGATTTAACCTCAGGAGGCTGCCTAGCCAGTCGGCGAGTCTTTCGCGACGAGGGCACAAACCTCCAAAAAAGGAGCACCAGCCCCGGGTCAACTGAAAAAAAAAAAGAATGGACAGATCACCCGGTGTCTTCACTAGTTTGACCACTGGAAGGGATTCTCACCAGCACTGCTGCTCACCCCATCTCGGAGCGGGTCGACGAATATCCCTTCGGCTGGAAAGATAGTGAAGCTTCCTGTCGAATTAGCCTGCCGTCGCGCATCGTGTGCTCGTCCAGTTAATCGCACATCGGGTCAACAGCGCACGCGATCTGAGTCGTGGTGATTGTACTGGTCAGATCTCCGGCTCTCTCCAGTGTTAGCCTCCATAGAGCTAACCACAGTAGCTTCTTGTCACTTACTGTACAGAATCTGAGGTTGGTCTTGTTCACAACATGCGTGATTAGCCGGATGCGATTGCTTCGCGGCGTCTGTGGCTCCTCCTAGTGGACCAGTGCAGACCAGATGCAGAGCACAGGATCATAACAAGTTCGAAGGCAATCGCCGACACCACAGACCAACGAGTCCTCTAGAAGTATCCGCTTGTGGGCACCAGATGACGGCAACCAGATGAAATTGATGTGAGCAGATGGAATCAACGAGAACCATGACACTTGCAGCGGAGACTGACACTCCTTTTGACTCACCGGATGGGGGTATTAGTACCAAGTCCCCAGATAATGGAATGATCTTTGCTTCCGTACTCTGAGCAATGAGCGCCAGGTGGCTAGCAAGAATAGCCGAACAGACGCTACAGGAGTTTGAACTCTGTGTGTTGAGGGTAAGCGCAGAGAGGAGCTTGGATTGATGCTATCTACAAGCAGGAGAGAACAATGGAGAGAATGGAGGTGGTGAGCGGCGGGAGTAAGATAGGGAGAAGACAGGGAGGGGTCGAGAAAGACAGCGTTGAGTCAGGCAGTGAATCTTTCTGGCAAATGCTGATACTTAGTGAATGCCTATACTAAACGGGTATATGCGCCTAAGGCTATAGCAGCAGGGATATGCAGATATTCACTACAGGGTCAGCAGAAGTACTACTGCACATTGAATGTGACCTTTCAAATGCTCATGTCGAATAACTGTATTGGGAATCTCAGAGATACCAAAAATCTATCAAGCATGGAACAACAGGAAAGGTATATAGAACATGATGTTTGAAGGCCATATATATTAAAACTAATGATGTTCATCTGCAGTTTTAAACACCTCCCGATCAGGCATATCTGGACGAGGACGGACAGAATGAGTGTCATCCTCCGAATTCGCATTGACCGAATAGAAAGATTCCAGATCCTCAGACGGCTGAGGGGCAGACAACGTCTCGACAGAACCATTGGTCGAGTTCTTATCATTGACCACGCCGACTACTCCAGTGGAATTACGGACGGCCCGGGTACTCGCATTGTCCAGCGCAGTTATTGTGGTCACAGGTAGTGACCTTGCATCGTCGAGGATACTGGCATCTTCTCGGTCGGCGGTCATGGCGCTGCGAATCGTCCCGGAACCGGCCTGGGAGACAGGCCGAGGCTGTTCGGATCGAGCAGGAATGGTTCCGGCAGCATGCAGCAAAGTCGTTGTGCTGGCGTTATCTGCGTTGAACTGCCTACTTTCATAATCGGGCAAGACGATCATAGGACTGGCAGACTTTCCCCAATTCGACGAGGCGGGACGCGAGACTCCAGATTGGTTGGTATCTTCAGCACCGTTAGATTGTTCCTGGGCTTCTCGCGAATCTTCATCTGCCTTCCCTCCGTTGAATTGTGTGCCCTTGTTAGACTCCTCCCTCGGAGATGACCCGACATGATCTCGACGTCTCGGTCTATCCATGGACGCCCATGCTCGTCCAGCGTCAACGCTCGTCAGCCTCGAACGACCCTCTTCCTTCTGCATCTCCTGTTCTCTTGCGAGGGTCTTCTTGTCATGCTTGCTAGCCATCCGACTCCACATGGTCATCTGGTAGCTCTTCCGATCCTTTCCGCCCTTTTGAGGCAAAACACCAGGAGCCAGTCTTCTTGCCGCCAAGGAGCTTGGGGGAGCAGTATCCCCATCAAAGTCCTGGAATCCATGGGCCAATTCTTTCATCCGCTGCTTCTGCACTCGCAGCTTGTCCTTGGCAAATTTTTTATCCCACTCCTCCTTTCCGGCCATCCATTTCCGGACCAGCTCCGGGTTCGCTACGCCGATTTTATCCCGCGGGATTTGCAGGACGGAATAGGAGGATGGGGGATCGAGCGGATATATGCGTCCTCTTTTGTCCACTCTTTGGCGGATCATACGGTCTTTAAATGCAGGCAGTGGATCACCAGCCCTGCCGACGGAGGCAACGGACGGCCTTGAGCTACCCTTGTTCTCACCGTTGGCCTCTGCTTCGCGAGCGTCTGTTTCACTGGAGGAGGAGATGGGAGAGATATCATTGTCGTCGAGGATGGCAATCTCCGAAGTCTGGGAACATGCAAGAGCCCAGGCACCGAATTGAGCAATCGATCGGTACATGTACTTGGCCGGACGCGTAAAACTAAGGGTCGGGGCAACGTGGCAGAGATCGTCCCATACCTGCAACTGAACATGCGTGCCAGGATACTTGTGTAGGATTTCTCGTTTCGGATCATACTCGTCAAGAGTCTTGTCGCTGGGTGGATATGCCGTCGGATTTGCGGCCTTGTGAGCAGTGTAAAACTGCTCGTCCCTTAACCGCTCGCCTCCTCCGACGAGGATCTGCAGTGGGGGCAGACCGCCAAGCGACGGTTGGAGTACCGGAGAGACGAGTGGGTGAGAGATGAGGTGATTCGGTGCGTACATTTGGATCTGGTCTTTCACTACGACTGTATGACCGTCAATAGGAACTTCGACGACCTTGGTCTCGTCGTCTTCTGAATGCTGAAGAGCCCCCGGAGTCGGTTCTGTCCGATCTGACCCGTCCTTCTCGACTGTGTACCCCTTCACTGCTGTCTCTTGAGCCCTGGTGTCCTCTTTTGGCACGGCTTCTTCCATGGCGCTTTCTGGTGACTTTTGTTTTGCGTCCTTGATCGCGCGAATTTCATCGGCGTTTGGAGGCGGCCAGGCTGCGGAGGGCCTATATCGGAAGCCACTCGGCGGGATGTAATCACCTGGACTGTCCGACAGTACACTGGGAAAAGAATGTGTAAGGTCCACCCAGGGCGATATCAGGATAGCTCCAGCGGGCAAAGGTAGTCCTTGGTCGCGAATGGTGACCAACATCCTGCCAAGATTAGTGCATCTCCAAGAGTAGTAGGTATGGCACTTACGAAAGGACCATTCCACCCCCGGCGGAGTCTCCTGCAAAGATGATCTCAGTCGGATCGTGTTCGTTGAGAAGGAACAGATAAGCCGCCAAACAGTCCTGTAGGGCACAAGGAAAGGGAAACTGCGGTGCCAGACGATATTCCGCTAATCGTAGGTTTTAGCAGTCATTCTGTATTCTGTGACCAGGCGTAACTCACTACACAATCAGCATATGGTTAATCAGAAGAAGGGCCATCTTACCGTGCAAATACTCGTCCCCTGAGCTTTCTCGCATGACGCTGCAATTGATACCGATGGGTCTCCACACTGCCAAAGAAGTAGGCACCGCCGTGAAGATACAACATAATGCGCTTCCCGTTCGGATGATCGTTGGTACGTTTCCTCTCCTGGTAGTCCGACTTCATCTCGATCCACTCTCCTCTGAGATCCTCCGCCGGTCCACGCCATTGCCACCATTTGTCCCCCCCCACACGCGCTATACCTTTGGGACCAAGTTGCTTGATAAGAGCGATCGCAGCAGAAGAGAGGTACTCCTCCGGAATGACGACCTTGGTTGTCTTCACCCAATGAGGGGCGGGAACCCGTTGAGCCGTGAACGCCTGGATATCCTCGACGGTGTGTTTGGCAGCATAGTTGAGGAATTGACGAATGACCTGGATTGCCTCGTCGTAGGAGATGTGGACGGTGGGTTTCGTGCGACGGGATTTTCGATGCAGATACTATCAAATCAGACTGTCAGTGGACAGTGGAGAAGATGCTGGGGGATACCCACGTGAGAGACCAAAGTCGCGACGACGGTAGGGGTAAGGGAGACACCCAATGCGACCGTATTCAATGTCATGACGCGACTGTCGGTGGATGAGATGTTGCGATATTCAGAGTCGTTGTGTTTGGGCGTATATCAGGAACCGGAACCAAGGTCGGGCGGTCCGCGGTTGAGCCTAAGGGGCGAAGATAACAAATGCAGGGGGAAGAATGTCCGATGATTAACAACTGCACCCCATGTTAGGTAGTAAGAATGACTAGGCTGTACTTCTTATAGCAGGGAATTATAGGGAGGGATGTCCACAAGAGATAAGACACTGAGCACGAGAGAGAGACAGGAGAATGAGAGGATCACAGAGAGAGAGAGAGAGAGAGCAAGGGGCAGGAAGCAGCCGGTGATGTCATTGCCTGATTGGGCACGGACACAGATGATGCGCTATTCCTCTTTTGGTTTTGAAGTTGAGATCGTCAAACAAGAATTGAGCACAATTATACAAAAGTGATTCGATAGAAGGTTATGCCAGCAGATTGACGGACCTGGTTCTTAATGGCTTCAATTCGATTGCGCAATGACATAGAACCCTGGGAACGCTGTTGGATGCCTATCAGAAAGACCGGTTGCAGCCAACGGAAACAAGACTATGGCTATACTGGCGCTCGATGGACGCAGAAAGGAGTTGTGTCTTTGTTTCTTCGCTAGGAGGTGATTGTACATCCACTAATATTTCTGTCACTTCAGAGCCACGGCGAAGTACATCATATATCCCCCCAGTTGTGGATGATCCATGAGGTCTTGATCGGGTTATTCCCAAGTTTCCATCCGAAATCTCATGCCGGTCTCTTTCTGAACCACATCCCAGAGCAGATTCCAACTTGCCAGGTCGTGATGGAAAGACTTGGTCGTGTATTCCTCTGGCAAGGGTGGCGTCTTTCGCTCGGTATAGGCGGCATTCCGCCCCACGATCATTGGCCCTGGCTTGGGCGTAAGCATCTGAAGCGCATGCTTGGCAAATGATCTGCTGGTCCAGGAACATGAACTTTGCTACGCACGGATATGGGTACTGTAGCTGGCGCGATTAGATCAGGGATCCGTGATTATCTGTCGACGTGATAGTAAAGCAACATACCACGGCGGAAGCCCGGTCCCTCTGAGGAGTATAAGTACTTAGTCAAAGATACCGAAACTGTTGAACTGTGCTTCACGTACCACATCCTTCACGTGTGCCAGAACCTTATCCGGTTCAATATTGCTGTATCCCTCCAAAATTGCTCATATCGGCACATCAACTCTTGAAAGACCTTTCAAGTACGCCAACCCCTGGTCATATCCTGGTGAAAGCGCGTTTTCCAACTCTTCCATCTGCATCTTATGTATATGATCTGGATGTTGGTTGGCATAATATCGACAGAACCTATGTGATACGGGCTTGTCTGCTCACATTTGAACTATAAGCCTTCCTAAAATGTGCCGGGGATTAGTCCCTATTGCATACTGATATAAGGCAGCAACCAAGGCTGGGCCCTTGGCAAAGTCGGTGAGGACTTCTGGGGCCGGCAATCAGCGGTGAAGACGCTGCGTGAGCCACCAAGCATCAGGGCTGCAGCGTACCACAGCTGCGGCGTGAGGATAGTATGGACAGGATCCTTTAGTGGCGGTATGCTAGGAGAGGGCAGTCTGAAGCACTGACTAGCCTTATTCTGTTAAGAATTTTGCACATCGAATGCTTATCCCTTTGGTCCAGTGACCACTCTCGGGCATGTTTACGGCTATGTAAGGAAGGACTCGGGAGTGAGATGACTTTTCATGGCCCCTTGCTCATGACCCCTGGGCCATCTTACTGTGTATTCCAGTGCCCTATTCAAAAACACCTAACGGCAGTAGCGCTGCGGGAGTGAGTGTCCATGATTGTGTGGATTGTCAGAGCTAACTCAACGCAGTTGTGGTTGTCCTGGCTTTTCTTGTTAGTAGTCCATGCTACTTCAACACTGACCATCAATAGCTGGTTTTTAAAAGTTCATGAGTGCAGTAAATTGATTAGAGAGGGGTCAACAACCAGCAAAGAATGTGCCTATATCTCAAACCATTGTAATATAGTGAACTAAACCAGGTTAGTGATGGCACCTCTTATTAAGACAGTGGATATAAGGAAGCTGAATAAGGCCTGCCAACATTAGGTTGCCTTCAGATTTTATAGATTTATTTGATGAAAATCATGAAAACCTATTATTTAGTTTTATGCCTCCTTTCACCCTTATATCAGTCTCTACGGGACATGGTAGAAACTACCAAAGCTACATGGGTTAACGTAATCCACCACCGAGCGGCACACACCACCGAGCGGCACAAACTTTCGATACACTACCACCTCATCCCCTGATTAGTTAACAGATTGCTTCATGGTATCACCAACTCATCATTATGCCTCAAGGATCTACAGATCCAGCTGCTAAATCAGAGGACCGAATACAGCTCGCAATTCAAGCATTTAAAAATAGCCAATTTAAGAGCATCCGCGCAGCAGCCGCAGCGTATGATGTACCATATCGTACGCTCACTTACTGAATTAAAGGTCGAAAAGCACGCCTGAACATTCTAGCAAACAGCCAGAAGCTCACAGTTTTGGAAGAAGCTTCTCTTAAGAAGTGGATTCTTGATATGGATGAGCGTGGTCTCCCTCCAACCCAGGATATGGTACGGACGATGGCGAATCTATTACTATCTCATAAGGGAGAGCCTGAGGCTGTTAGCTTGAACTAGGTTTCTCACTTTATCAAACGACATGATGAGATCATATCCAAATACACCCGCAAGTACGATTATCAACATGCAAAATGTGAGGATCCAAAGATCATCAAACAGTGGTTCGACCTAGTTCAGAATACTATAGTAAAATATGGTATTCTTGAGCAGGATATCTACAACTTTGATGAAACTGGCTTCCAAATGGGTGTAGCCCATACTGCAAAGGTTATTACTACATCCCGTCATCAAACAAGTCGCGTACAAGCCATACAGCCAGGGAATCGCGAATGGGTGACTGCCATTGAATGTATTAATACTTCTGGATGGGCTCTACCACCTATGATCATCTTTACTGGCAAAGTCCATTAATCCCAATGGTATCAAGATATACCCCACGACTGGCTGATTGGTCTTAGTGATAATGGATGGACCAACAATCAGCTTGGCCTATCATGGTTGGAAAAAGTCTTTCAGAAGCATACCATGGCACGTACAATAGGGAGATATCAGCTTCTGATTCTTGATGGCCATGCTAGCCATGAATCTGCAGAGTTTGATCTTTTCTGCAAGAATCATCAGATCATTCCTTTATACATGCCTTCTCATTCATCAAATCATTTACAGCCTCTTGATGTTGGTTGCTTTGCACCCCTAAAGGAGGCATATGGTGCAGAGGTGATGAGAAGCATCCAACATGGTATTCATCATATTAATAAGCAAAACTTTCTTGATCTCTATAGAGAGTCACGAAAGGCTATATCACCCAAGAATATTTGCAGTGGTTTTGAAGCTTCTGGTCTGATTCCATTAAACCCTCAGAGGGTGTTGGATAAGCTTACTATTAAGAATATCACACCCCTAACCACAGCTCATGGTCCCTCAGACGGGTCATGGGTTGCAAAGACCCCTTTGACTACTGCTGAGGTGCAAAAGCAGATGGAGCTTATCAAGCAACTTATTAATCGCAACTCCGAAAGCCCCCCAAACGAAGCACTCCGTCAGCTAGCAAAGGCAGCTAAATCCACCATGCACAATGTTATTCTGTTACAACATCAGATGAATGAGCTTCGTGCAGTAAATGAGAAGTGAAAGTGAAAGCGCGCAGCTACTTAATCTTTTATTGCCTCAGGGGGCGTTCTAACAGGGGCTGAAGGCCAGCAGCTTGCTCAAGAAGCAGAGAGGCTGGTTTCAGTGGAAACAATGCCTAGGAAGCATGCGCCACCACAATGTAGTAACTGTCATCAAATTAGTCATATTAGAACTGGCTGCCCTAGTAGGTAATATAATTCTCTTATGTATGAAAATAGCTTTATTCTGATTGCGCAGTAGTAGAAGATTTCCTGGTTTGTTAATTTTGGTAAAAATCATGTGCCGCTCGGTGGTGTGTGCCGCTCGGTGGTGGATTACGTTAGTCCCTATTCACAACTAAGAATCATGCAGCACATTATGAAATTAACTCTCAGATAGTTAGAGGTGGAGTAGGGATTATATAAGTTATGAAGGCTGTATGGGCCCCTAGTACTATAACCATATACTTATCAGAAGCATGGTCTATTTTAGGATCCTAAAAGGAATAGTAACTGGCATCTTAACAGACATTAGTAGGATATGTTATACTTACATTTCCTATTATTGATATCGGCTATGCAAAGTGGAAGCTTCTGTTTGCCCCTCTGGATGGATCAGTTTTTGAGCCACTATGTGGTTTCCGCTGCTTAAATATGTATCAACGCTGGTTATAGTTACATGTACACCAATCATCTCCCTACCGTCCTATCTTCTATCTTCTACCTAGTTGAATCCACATCAAATCATTTTCATTATTCTACACACGGTTAGGTCTATGATCTATACCAGTGCCTTCTTCTTGACTTAATCTTAGATATTACTGTTGACAGACCATATCTTCTACAGTAGAATAATAAGCTTAGCAAGTTCATGCGTTGCTAAGCAAGTAAACACCACATTATTGTTTAGAATAGTATGATATTCATTAGGAATAAAGAAGAAGGAATCATTGAAAAAGCTAACAGTTCTCTCCCAACACCGCCCTCTTGCCATTTGAAATCCACTTAACTCAGGATTACACACTTGTAAGCTTTTGGTTAGACTACCTCAGAGCTCTAAACATAGATATAGGGCAGCTTTTTGCACATAGACTGTCAGATTCATCACCATATTGCACCTGCTGGTTGATACTAATAGGTTCCAGTAGATACGCGTTGGAACAAACTATAATAAACATAGTATTCTGAACTCCTGAGTCCATCTATGCGAGAGAATACGAGCACAGCCCAAGTATAGATCACATAATTACTAACATCCAGATGCTCACCATCTAAAAGTCATAAGAAATCTCCAATCAGATGGACAAGAGCTGAAACCCCACATGGGGCAGCTTCTTAGTGAGCTGACCGACTACAGGCTACCAGAGCAGCCTCGTTTAGCTGACGAATCAGCACGACGATGAATGCGAACGGAGTACTAGTATGAGTCTCAGATTTACCCCATATTGCCTGGCAGATAAGGTAGCCCTAAAGAGTGACATCATTGAGTCTAGGTGAGTACAAACTCTTACTCTATTGGGACTATATCCTGTCTCTCATATTCTATAGACAGAGCATATAAAGCGCACCAGGATTGCACAAGCCCTCTCCTGTAAAAGCCAGAATAGTTGCAATATTAAGACATATTGAACATGTGTTCGATTCTGGCATTATTTTCCCTGTGCATTATCTCTTCCATCATTAGCACAACAGCTGCTCACCAGTTTCCCCTCGTGGACCTTGGGTATGCGACTCATGCCCCAACATACATCAACACCACTACATCTGGCACCCGAGTTGGCCTATACAATAACATCCGTTTTGCACACCCACCAACAGGTGCCCTACGGTTCCGAAAACCAAGCACTCCCCCACCGAGTCAAAAGGGTATCCAAGATGGCAGGGACCGACTGTTTTCAACTGACTGTGTAAATGCTGCGCCCGCAATGGTTCCATTCCCGGGACTCAATGGCTCCGCATGGGGACAAGAGGACTGTCTGTTTCTAAACGTGTGGGTGCCTGAGGGTGTCCGTCCCGGGGATAATGTCCCGGTTATTCATTGGTTGCATGGCAGTGCATATGCATTTGGCAGTAAGGATCTTCTTATAAACGCAATGGGATTGATGGATCTCATTCAGAAGCCGGAGGATCGCTTTATCTTCGTGGCTAGTAATTACAGGTTAGGGAGCCTTTTCAAGCAAAGAGATGATTATCAATGTTGACTAATACCTATCTAGACTGGGTCTATACGGATGGGCATCATCCCCATACGCAGATATGGATGCCAATGTTGGTCTCCATGATGGTGTTGCTGCGTTGCAATGGACCAAGGACTACATCTCTCATTTTGGCGGGGATACAAATAATATTACTGCAATCGGCGAGAGTGCAGGAGGTGCAATGATTGCACTAATGCTCGTGGCGAACGGGGGGAATGGGACCCTTCCCTTCCAGAAGGTGAGAGATCAGCAAACTCTTCCCTCTTTACTCAGACTGACTATCGCAGGCATTCATATCATCGCCCGCTATTCTGCCTAGAAGAAACGTATCAGCGCGCCGCGAGGAGGTATATAATCACATCCTACAAGCTGCAAATTGTTCGTCCCTCGAATGTCTTCGCAATGCCCCATCGTCCCTCTTATTTGATGTTAATAAACGGCTGCTCATCGACACTTACGGTGGCGGCGGCGGTGGCACTTTTGGCCCGGGGGTTGGTTTTGGCCCACTCCCAGATGGGAAATACATCCCTGATGCTATGACCGTCCTGTTCAACCAGGGCCGTTATAACAAAGACATCAAAGCTGTAGTATCTGGCAATATGGCAGCAGAAGGATTTGCCACAACACCAGACATTGGCACGCCTGAAGAACTTAACTCGCTGATCCGCAAGGTTCTGCCAGAAGGCAGCAATACTACTGTCCAGCGCATTAGGGACATGTATCCCTACCCAAATTCGCAGGCACAGAACATCGCCCAGGACTGGACAACAGATAGTGTGTGGGCTTGTAATTCCCAGGCTATTGCGAATGCATACGCGAACAAGACCCAGCGATATGTCTTTTCTGTGCCTCCATCATCGCATGGATTGGACGTAAACTGTATGTTGATTCTCTCCACCCTTTTCTGCTGATGATTTGCTCTGTGTATTGACCAACTGCAGATATGTTTTTCAAAGACAATACTTCATCCCCGGTCTCGAGTGTTTCCCTTGCAAGACTGTTTCAATCGGAAATACTTAAGTTCTCAAAGGAGGATATTACAATGAGAAACACTACGACCTGGCCTTTGTATTCCACCAGATCGAGGTCTGCCAACATCACACTCACCGGATTAGAGACAAGTGTTGATCCTTGGGCTACAAAGCCAAACTGCGAGATTATTATGGAGGCTATTATGGATGAGAGGAATGGAGCTTGAAAATTACTTTCATACGGAGCCAAAGATCTTTGACCCCCTTGGTATGCACATAACTCTATAGCTATTTCGGGGCTATTCTCCGCTAGTCGAGGTTTGGGAAATTCTTTTCATTGTTGAGTTGACTAGGTAGTTATATCTGTTATTGTAGAAGGTGGTAATGGATACTAGAGGATCTAAATCCCTGTAAGGCCCACTACTAACAAAAGCACCGGTAGACCTTGTACTACTTGAGATGGGTGCCAAATCCGCCTATCGGATACTGTAAATCCACTTACTTTCCTGCAAGTGAGAAAGAAGACTCGTCATAGTACGAGGCGGGGTAAGAACAGGAGAAAACTTGAACGCAGAGCCTCGATTATAGATAATCGTGGCCATTCTGCGTTTTCGTCTCAAATCTGATGCCCCATCGCGATCGTCGACCTGAGTTTCGTCGTTCTATTGCCACGACCAGCGCCACGCAAATCACAAGTCCTATTCAATACGTTGAGCTAAAACTACCCGGCGCTGCTGCTCGTCTCCGAGGATTGGTCATGGCGCTATACGTTCCACGGCCTTATTTCCAAAGCTACCCCGACGATGAAGGATATTTCGGTCGGTTTGGCGGCAACCACTATCCACCGGAACTTCGGCCTGCGCTGGAAGAACTGGCCAGCAGCTATCGGGAGCTTCATCAAACGCCAGAATTCCAGCGCGAACTCAACAAGGTGCGGGTCGGACTGCAAGGGCGGCCGACCCCGATACATTACCTTGAGAATATCTCGAGTCAGGTCAATGGCGCTCAGATCTACGTTAAGCGAGAGGATTTGAATCATACCGGCGCGCACAAAATCAATCACTGCGTTGGCTTCGCACTTCTCGCCAAGAAAATGGGTAAGAAGAAGCTGATTGCCGAGACCGGGGCCGGCCAGCACGGCGTCGCGCTGGCAACTGCAGCCGCCTATTTTGGCCTTGAATGCGAAATCCACATGGGGGAGGTGGATATTGCTAAACAACGGTCGAATGTCGGTCGCATGCAGCTGCTCGGTGCGCGCGTGGTACCAGCATCTACAGGCCAGTCCACCCTCAAGGAGGCTAGTGATTCCGCATTCAACGCGTATGTAGAGCAGCACGCAGACGCGCTCTATGCGATCGGATCGGCTATCGGCCCGCATCCCTTCCCTATGATTGTTCGAGACTTCCAACGTGTAGTTGGTCAAGAAGCCCGAGAGCAATTCAGTTCCGTCACGAATGGAAGCTTGCCGGAGCATGTGGTTGCCTGCGTCGCAGGTGGCTCCAATGCAATGGGTCTGTATTCTGGCTTCATTGACGATCCGGGGGTTGTCCTTCACGCAGTGGAACCCCGTGGCATATCTGATGAACCAGGCCAACATGCAGCGACGCTATCCTATGGCAGACTGGGAACATTGCACGGTGCTCGATCGGTTGTGCTGCAGAAAGATGACGGTTCGCCTGCTCGTGTCTCCTCTGTGGCGTCGGGACTCGCGTACCCCGGTGTTGGCCCAGAGATTGCGATGCTCCATGAAACCGGCCGGCTTTCCATCGCAGCAGTTTCCAATGAGGAAGCCCTCAGTACATTTTCCCGCTTGGCCAAATCTGAGGGAATTATCCCTGCATTGGAAAGTGCACATGCTTTGGCGTTTGCAATCCAGTTGGCGTCGCAGCGCCCTTCATCCGAACGAATACTAGTCAATCTTTCGGGGCGCGGCGACAAAGATGTCGACTTCGTGTTTGAGAACTATGGGATAGGGGTATCACCGGCCAATTCGTAGAGTACTGTTTATGACAGGCCATCGGTCGGAGGGATGTTGAAATTCGGAAATCGCCCGGCTCATATCTGAATTTCAATCTCAACTTGGATCGTAATTCCTTTATGAGGCTTATGTTACATCTCTAGTGATAATCAGGATAGTTAAATATTACTCTTCAGATTTGAGCTATACTTCTATAATGAGTCTATATAATGTTAGAGAACACCTCAATAAGAGTTGAGGTATCGAGGTGCAGCCTCGTAAGTAAACGGAGTAGGTTAATGAGGTAGCTGACACTCGGGCTGGCTATAGTGATCTCGACGATCTGATTCATCCGGCTCTTGTTGGTTCTTTGCTTTGGCTCGGCTGGTCCATCTCGTTCTCACTGACAACTATGATAGCTGAGCGGTTTCTAATATCACCAATACATATAGCACTCGGAAAGCATGCGGCTTTGAGCCAACAGCAACACTACCCTAACTACAACGCTAAGACCGTACCTCCTAGTCTGAAACCACGGCCAACTCGCCGGTGCGCGTTGGATTTGATTCAATTCTGTACCATTGGACAATAGGCGATCTTCCGATGATATTGTTCTGGGTTGAAAGCCTCATCAAGGGGACGTACATACAGGTTTCTGGGGAATGTATGTACTGTGCCACGAGTCGGGCGCTAGGGAGTGGGTGCAATATGATTATTGCAGGCGGTTGGTAAGACAGTCATTTGAGTTTCCACCTTCATAATGAAGAGGAATCGTGCATTTATAACTAGGCAGAGATTCATTCAACAGGCTGTCTGCTTGTAGCGATAGCCATATGCATATGCCAGTTCACCTTCACCAATAGGGCGATCTCCTAACGCCCCCCCTGGAACTCATTGTGCCCTGGCTTCAATTGCCTGGCTATCTGAGCATCTGTCATTCCCAGCCTATTTCTGATAGTGATATCTTTCCTCGTCTGTGACTGTAAACCTTGATCCCTTCGACGTCTTTGAATCCGCCTTCCCTCCGCGTGCTGGATTGGTTGGTGTCGTCTCGGCCACGGCGACGCCTTTAGAACCGTTGCCGCAATCACCATCAGCCTGGATCTTCTTTTCTTTTCACCGACAGATTCATTGCGCTCTAACCTGTAATCTTGTTATGGTCCAGGGGGTTTGCTCTTGTTCTTCTTCGACCTGAGGTTGGCCGCAAGCATTCTCAGGACTTTCATGGCGACACTCAAATCAAAGAACTGTGGCGTAGGAGGCGGAAGAGGAATGCAATAGGTTGACTCTCCTTTCTGTCTTGGATAAAGAACGCAACTGAAACTCAGCGCGTGGGGTGAGCGAGGCTGAGCAGAAGGCGCTAGCTGAGAAAAATGAGGTTTCTACATCCGGATTGGACGAGAGAAGATCTGAGAGAAGACTACATCATATGACAGAGTAGGTTTAAACCATCTGTACCATTGGCTTTAGTTGCATATGGCAGTGCCGCAGTCTGCCGTTGCCCTTAACAGTGCAGGGGATGACAGGAGGGTAATGGCTGTAAACTTCCATCCTCTTATTAGCGCCGTGCTTTAAGGAACTGAAGGGTTGATCGTCACCTATCATTTCACTATCCCGCCCTAGTTACTCTATTTTTATATGAAATGAGAGACGCCTTACACCAGAGTCAGATAATTGAATCTTTAAACAGACGGTATAGGGACAAAGCTTATAGTTGAGGCACTCATTTATATATTAATAAGAAGTTAAGTCGACAGTTAATCACTGGTTTCTTGTAAGGTGAACCGCTGATTCGCCTCTCATCAGACAGCCAGAGCCATGCACACTCTTGATTGTCTCTCGAACCCTGATTGCCAACACATTGGTACATATTGAGAAATTTCCTGGACTAGCCCTGTCAAAAGGATCGTATTGTATTTTCCAATGATGACTAGAGCTGCACAAAGCAAATTTGTCGTATTAATGCAGCTGACACCTCGGTGTCACTCTCCAGACTTCATCTCATCTTCGTCCACCAACTCCACTAGCGGACCGGTCCGCTCGCGTTCATCGAAGCCTCATAGCGATATCATCCGTCTTCGTGCAATCGGTCTGGCTTACAGATGCTCCCCACCACAGTCCTTCATGATTATTACGCGATTCTCGGGATTCCCCAGTCCGCAGACTCGGCTACCATCAAGTCGGCATACAAGAGATTGGCTTTGGTCAAGCATCCAGATCGACGAAGAAATGAGCCCAAAGCAACAGCCGAATTCCAACTAGTAAGCCTGACTGCTAGCTTTTCCTCTCTCTTAGAAGCCTGCATCGTCACTGACGCGGTTATACTCAGCTCAACGCTGCGTATGAGCAGCTTCGTGATGTCGTTAAACGTCGAGAATATGACCGAATATATGAATCAACAATACGTCCCCTAAAAATTAAGAATCAAAAAATAGCAGAACTGGACGGACGACTTCGACAACTCAAGGACAAGCGCAGGAGCCATGAAAATTCGTTATACAACGCAAACAAGGACCTCATTAGACTGAATGTGGAGAGAGACAGTCTAAAAGGAGAGAAAGAATGGATTATGAAAGAAAGGGCTACAGAAGAGACATGGTGGTTTTATATGTGCTCCTTTATGTCAGGCAGAGCGGCAGATTTTACACGACAGAAGGAACGACGAGAGACTATGCTGATTAGTATTATTGGGAAATGTTGCGCGAAGGACTTGGACATTGATCTCAAACTGAAGGACGTTCAATCTTTCAAGGAAAAGATCTAATCTTTGTTCTCTAAAGAACGTACGATTGAAGCAGACCGACGAAGGATAGAGGAGAAATGGCGCGAAATGTGTCGCGAACAGGAAATGCTAAGAAGGTCTGGCCATTTCCATGGATCTAATATTTGGGATTTCTAATACCTTCCTGATATTGTGTATTCAAGTACCATGGAAGGGTGCCACATAGCATTGGGTAAAGAAAAAGCTTGTGGCTCCCAAGCCTAGTGCTGTATAGCAATGAGCAGGCTCATGAGTGAAGTCTGTAAGTAAGCAGTTGAATTATCACAGTTGTGTACTTGGGAGAATGACATGCCAGATTGCCGGCTGTCTTGATATAGAAGTAAATAATCTAGGAGATAATCAAGTGCTTAGCTCATGCTCAGCCACCCAGCCATGGCTACCATGCATACCTGGAATGCATTTAAACAAGCGTAGTGTCGTACTCAATAGTGTAGGACGTACATATCAAAAGATTGACTTTTCATGTTCCTACAAGCCCACTAGACGCCTACATAAGGATTCTATCAATGATCTACCCGCTGAAAATACATATATTCAAACCGGACAATTCAAGAAGATAGCCCATTCCATGCAGCTTGTCATCTTGCAGTCTTCCGCGGTGTCCTCATCAGACCACATTTGTATTACTGGCCAGGTGAGTTCTGATGGAGGTTTTATTTTTCTCATTCTTTCAGTATAAATTCCGTATCCTGTATTCTGCGCTGGGTAGCTAGGAGGTGCTGGCTCCAATCGCGAGTGTGTGGCAATGTTGTCTCATGTACTAGGCACCAGGAGGAACTAACAGGCGCGAAGTAACAGGGGAAACTAAGCCAAAGCCTAGCATGTTCTGTACTGTAAATAATATAAGCTGGACGAACTCTTCTTTTGTTTACCTCAGATTGTTAGAATCGTTTCAGCTGTTCTTGTTATGTTCGATCTCTCTGATGTAATAGCCGTTTTCCCACGTTGTCAAGGGTAGACAATAGAAGAATAACGCAGTCCATCATGACACTCACAAAGGATGATAATCCAAACACTCATGCCCCCTCCCCACGGCGCGATATGACATCCTCACCGGCAAGCCGCATGTTACCCATCCTCCGGCGGAGTCTGGATGGCCGAGCTCGGTCCGCTATAGCCCCGACACCTGGGTATCAATCAATTGAATCTACCGAGCGGTCGTCCCTCCAAAAAGACGAAGACGCCTTTTGCCGTGAGCTCCGCGTATTTGGTGGCTCGTGGTATAACCCCGAGGCGGACGGTGAGGATTTACTTGTTGGAGGTCGATGCCATCTACTCCACCACTTTGAGCCTGCTTTCTCGATTGTCCGGAAGATTGCATACCCCCAGGAAGAGGACGGCGGTGGGGTGTGGGTTCTTGGTGTGGGTGAGAAATTTTCCCTGAAGGCATGGCTACTGTGAGAAATGCATTGACCATGAAAGAGCAATGCATGGTGCTGGAGAGGTTTGGCGCTGTGTATTACAATGATGTGCCGTCGAGCAGATTTCTGAGGGATCTATATGAAGCGCCATCTGACAGTCCCGGAGGCCATTGAGGTCCCTGGATACTGTGCCTTTGGTATGGGCACATAAGGCCCCAGGCAATGCAAGACTGTAACTAGCTCCTGGAACTACTATTCACGTAGGCTGGCCGTGGGCATAGGATCCTAAGTCCTGTCCTATGATTCCTATAGGAATCACTTCCTAAATTCTCTTCCCGCGCTAAGAGATTTGGGAAGGGATTTCTATAATAGTATGGACTCTTCGCCAAAGTTATAATGTATCTGTGAATGCCACGAGCATGTCCAGCTAGTCCAGCTAGTCCAGCTCGTTGGTGCCAACCGCTTGTGGGGACCATTCAGGTGTAGATTGAATCAGAACTCCGAGCGTAGAGTAGCCAAGATGACCGAGCCAAATCCTAGTTTTCGGTATACTGTGCGAAAATTGAAGCGTAACCAGACTTTTGACCTAGTACTATAAGTTAATACCCATAAGCTCCGAGCATAGTGACTGCAGTGACTCATACTGAATGCAGATGCTGAAAGTTACAGTCTTGCCTGAAGATAATGACCTGACCTATGGATAGACACAATGGCCACCATTTGAAATACTATGTTCTAGTATTAGATATTGGCAAACAGTCCTTATCGAACTATTGGTGATATTCCATCAGGGATTGAGTGTAAGTCGACCTCGCTTCGGTTGCTACAATGCTCATTGTACGTGCATTATCCCCTTTAGGAATGTGCAGCATTCAGCACAGTCGAGAGGCAAACCACACTAAAATTCTGATGCCAATTAGGTTGTGCCCGCTAGCGAACCGCTGTTGGTTTACACATTCAGCCAATGGTATCGGGCATTGTTCCAAGCCACCCCCAGGATCTCGACCCTATTACGAGGCTGCATAATCCTATGCCATCGTCTGGGGTATTGCCTTATCAAACAATTCTACGGTGTCTACCATACACTTCGGCGGCCTCCAGTTATCCCCGGCAGGATGCCCTATAACCGCTCTTGGAACGGGGCCTCCCCCGAGTTTGACGAGACGAAGACCGCACTCCGGCTTCAGAACAGAATAGCCTGCCCTTGATACCAAAACCTCCAGGGGCAGAAAAGACATAAATAGTCGGGAGCTCCCTAGACGTTTTGCTATCTCGCATCCTCGCTACCAGATCCCAATCTGCTTGAACTGGCCAAATCACAACTTAGCATCCCATCGCATCAACATCTACTTCATCATGCGCTTCACTCAACTTTTTGCCGTTACTGTACCGACCCTTGTGGTTGCAGGTGGTGCTGCCACACTCCATGGTACGTCTCTTCCTTCCTTTCCATCTATCCCCCCTTGAACTCTCCGCTTTCGGTCCTTATCCTAACAGCACTACCGCTACTACTAGCACCAATCCCCGCAGACACCCTCGAAGCGTTCATCAAGAACCTAAACGAGCCCGAAGCCCTTGATGCCTTCAGGGCTGTGCTGAATGGCGAGATCCCACCATCACCATCTCTCGCTGCCCGCGAGGCCAACCTCGAGGCCGAGCTTGCAGAGCGTCGGGAGTGCTGCGAGTACGGCATTTGCTGCAACATCGAGACCTGCAAGGAAGACGGGAGCAGCTGCCTTCAAATGTGCTTTGGTTATCAAAGCCCTTGGCAACAGCTTGGTTGTATTGCTGGTAAGTGAAGTACCCCGGAGTTATAGTAGTGAGCCTTGTTGAGAATGAGGGGAGAGGGGACGCTGATGGTTATGCTTGTTTACGTAGGGTGCGCCACTACTTGCGGTTAAAGTGTAGAGGCGATGGATAGTGGTATGTTTGCATGGTATGGGTTAACTGGCTTAAGAGTGAGGCTGGGTCTATCTGGTTGGTTGGCTTAGGGCTCAGAAGTAGAAATACGGATGTCTAGCTGCTGGTAGAGGGAATACGGTACGCTCGTTATCTGAATTGAATTGTCTCCACTCTGTCTCGGGGATTGCGTAGGGTGACAGAGTGCGGATATTACTGCTGACTCTTAGAGGACTTCAGTATTAGGGCAATGAGAGCTGATAGTCGCTGTGCAAGCCCCATGGGTGCTGGGAAGGGTATAAGGAGTAAATCTCACTATACGGCTCAACGAGAGATCACGCATATTGAGCAAGATCATAGCCAGTGGTCTTGCGTGGTTGTTCAGGCACCATCCATCATTACCTACGCCATTTTACAACGTATACCTGAAGAACGGACTCTTCTCCTCCATCCCTTCTAACTCATCCTCCGTATACATTTGCCTGACCTCGTCTTCACTCAATCTCTTCCTCTCTTCGTTCAGCGTATAGAGCGCAAACTGGAGAACAAAAACACCGACAATTCCTGCCGACGCAAAAGTAAACGATTTTCCGTACCCTGTCACATGCTAATGCTTCGTCCTCTTGCGGATAAAGCTGTCGATTAGCACGCCGACATTCCCTATGCAAATCAGGTACCTAATTCCGACGGCCCGCTTGGCTGGGTTTGGTGGCTGGCATCGGTCGGGCTGTCTGGCTCATATATGAGTGCGATTCGGTCTGGCACCTCAACGGCGTGTCGGTCGACGCAGTGGATTGAAGCGTTGAGCTTGCCGCCAAGGAACCGGGCGCTGTTGCCGTTCGCCGGGGATCCAATGTGCGGGGTGTGGAAGTCCTTGTCAAAGCCTAGGAGCTGGCGGGCTTGCTCTGACCAGAACTGGGAGGGGTGATTGGATGGCTGTTCGTAGAGGGCATGATGCTCGAATAGACTGGCGAGGTGCGGCAGGCTGGGATGGCTTGCTCGCCAGTCGGGCCCGACGTGGATAATGTAGGAGGGCATGTCCTGCCTTGTTAACCAGTCGGGATCTGGTTGAGAATTGCGAAGCTCACTTTATGGCAGTATAAAATAGTCTCTTGGTTGGATAATCAGTTTGTGACTGGAAACCCTACAAAAATTTATACCAACCCTCATATTTCTTGTTGATCGGGATAGTATTTGCTGTAGTGACCTGGTAATTGTCCTGCTAGTCCCCTTCCAATGACCTACATATGCAAGCTTTCCCACTTTCCAGATTTCTACTTAAGCTCTTAGCTACTCCAGGGTGTGCAGTCATAGAGTAACGAAATCCAATGAGAAGCGAGGGAACCTTGGAAGTTTTCCTTTGCCAGCAGAGTAACATGGTAGATAGTCCATTCGCAGCCTTTCAAAATATGGTCTCCAGTGCTTGCTTAGTTGGAGTTGAAGGACTTTGGGATCCTTTGTGCATAATTTTCTTGATTGACAATTCTGATGTACTCGGCGAACTGTGTAAGCTGTAGCAAGCTGGGACGACGGGATCGAAGCAGAAGTTGGGGGGAGGGGAAGGAGTTGCCAGTCTTAAAATCAAATTTTCTGGCACCCTGCTAGGATTAAAGGGTGATTCCAGTTGCAGCGAAGCTGCTTTGAATATTCTGAGGTGTAAAGACACTCTGGTGAGCTGCGGAATAAGCCTCCATGAAATCTAGCATGTCTATATGGTGGAATCACAAGCGAGATTTCTGCTCAACTAGCTTTGCATAAGCCTTTTTTAGTGGCCCAGAGACGGCCGACATCGAGATGCTGCAGGAGATGAAGAGAGTGAGGAGGCATCAAGATAGCCATGGTGCTGGTGTTGTCCTTGCATGTCTTAATCAAATTGAGGAGTCAGGTGGCTCCCATGCCCATCCAGAATTAGCAGCCAATACCCTCTCCTCTGTACGCCTGCCTGCAGCTGAAATGAAGATGTTTTGGAGCCAGCAAAGCCCAATTTCAGGTTCTTGGTCCTCAGCGGCTCCGAATCGACATCAGAGGATTGCCTATCGCTTTTGATCTGGTCGCCCACGGAGGATATTGAGGGCTTGTCGGTTAGGATTTATATGACTGAGGAAGTGGGATGCATATGTCTACCCCTTGATCCTAAGTGATTTTAGTTAATGGGTAGTCCCAGGTTGATGGTGATCTAGGCGGCTTTATCATAGGCGGTGCGCACATCGCGTATCAGCTGCCGCAATACTTGGTGCAGAGGACGCGGTCTTATATTGTTGTTACTATCAAGTTTGTCTCTCCCGCTCTTTCTCTGTGTGTGTTATAGTTGGAGGATGCATCCTAGTCACTAAATCTCCCAGGTACCGCGTTGATGCCCATGGCCTGCATGATTAAAACCTGGGTATTCTGGTCCAGTGAGGGCTGTATGCTTGCCTTTTTTCCCCTCTCCTTTAGTACAAGGCATTGCTGACAAACCAGACAGAAATGGGTCCGGAACAATACCAAGGCGTTTGGAGGCTGTCCAGAGTAAAACGAGTAAATCTTTGGTCATGTACTGGAAGGAGGTGGGTATTAAGGTATATTGATAGATTACAGACGAGTAGGTTGCGCGAGTGAAATAGGAGGATCTCACCCAAGTGGCCTCACTCTAGTTTACATTTATCATATAGAATATAAAGCATACATTGCCTAAATCAAATACATACGACCACAGGGTGTGGAAAACAGGGCTTCCCGTCCGCTCAGCCATACTTAAGCCACACGCCGGCCGGTTAGTAGTTGGGTGGGTGACCACCAGCGAATCCCGGCTGTTGTATGTTTTTGCTCACCTGGTCTTTATTTTGCTTCATTACACCAATGCTGCTCTGATCTTCACCCCTCTTCACCTGGGAAGCCACCGTCACTGTTTTTTACCTGAGCCTTACTTGGGTGGCGCAAAAAAAGTGAACATTTTCATGGCTGAGCCATTTGGCATCATTGCTGGCGCTCTCGGCTTCAAATGAGTAATAACTACTGCGGACCATTGCTGGCTGTTTCTCTGTACTTATCTGCATTCATGCCACTGTGTGTTCGAAAATTGAAAACCATGGACAACTAAAAGGTTTCTGCTACGAGCTTGAGCCGCTTTCTACGGTCAAGAAATTCTTGGGCTACTGGATCCCTAATTGCTGAATGATGATGTCTAGCAGCAACTTTTTGTGCCTCTAGCCCATGGTAGCATCTTGTGGACCTGATCAACATCTTAACGCTGTTCTCGCGGTCTTCCGCTTGGGCCGTACCCTCCACGGACCTCCTTCGAAGTGGTCACAATAATGGACTATTGCTGTTTCGGCCGCACGCACCAATTCCAGTCATCTATAAGCGAATCGAAGACTGAGTAGAGAAGAAGATACAAGTGGAGGGGATGCTTGTCGCCCTCCGAGGATGATTCATGGATGATTCATCCTTGTCGTTGCAATTTGGTAGGTAAGAGAGGTCTGATAAACCAAGCTATTCGTAGACAAACACGGATAATCCAGAATCAAAGCCGGCTCCTTAGTTATCAAGCTTCTTCCCTTTCCTCTTCCTTGGACGCTGCTTGACAACGACGAATGAGTATGTCTCCTGATCCATTCCCTTTTAAATCACAATATCCTCATCCGACACCTTCTCCTCCCCCCGTCTTCACCAGAAGCGTCTGCCATCTTGACAAGCACGTCCAATTGGCTCCATTTTCCAACAAAACTCGGATCATCTCTGCAGATCTTCGCCTCATTGCATGGATCAATGGCGGCAGGCTACACATGGTGTTTCAACGACCATGTCTTCCCACAGAAGTGGCATTGACATCAGCCCCATATTCCACAAGAGATCTCATCGTTTCAACATCCCCTTTGAGGATAGTCCTCTGCAGTGGTGTCCCTGACACTCTTTGTCTCCTTTCAGTAAATGTGTGATTTGGATCAACTCCGTACTTCAGAAGTAGGCGAACAACCTGCGGCCTGGTTTCAGCATTGCACTCAAGGATAGCTGTCATCAGCAACCCCTTGAAGAAACTCTCCGTATGCATGTGGATGTCATTACCTTCCAGGTCCAGGAAATGACGAACAACATCTGGTAGACCATACTGGATCGCCACTGTGACTCCTTCAAACAGGAGTGATTCCATTCCCATGTTTCACGGAAAGTGCTTCTCAATGAACCGGATCATCTTCATATTCCCTTCCCTTACAACAGTCCTCATCGCTTTGCCAAGGCCAAGTGACACACCAACATGATGTTTCCAAACCACGTTCGGATACGGACGATCCAGAGGAAGAGGAGGAGGAGGATTCTAACCAAGCCTCTAACCCCCCCTCATTGTTATTCTGCGCGGCAACAGCCAGCGCATACCGATAGTGGTACCCTAAGTTATAATGTCGCGGATATCCATGTTTAATCAAGACCTTTATAACCTCTTTCCTACCGTACTGAGCAGCAAATTGTAGAGGTAACACTCCCCATCGGTAACACCATTTATGTAATGGGAGGCGACCTTGCTTCAGCACACTGTCCAACTCTGTGGCATCCCCGCGCTTAATCGCACTGCAGACAATCGCAATACTCATGTCCTCATACGGGGTATTGAGCTTGGCGTACATGTTTTCTTATGTCGTTTTACCCGCAAGTTGTAGCGATACGTGAGGAGCATCCAAGAGGGTAGATTCCACGCCTCCCACCGGACCGCCTCAAGAATCTTGTCTGTAAGTCCTTCTCTCTCCGCTTCAGTCTTGAGCACATTAGCATGCGAATAGGAAACCTCATGTATGAAGTATGAAAATACGCATGGGGTTTGGCGTATTGCTTGATCTTTTGCCGGAGATATTTGCGTCTGATGCTCTCAGGGAACGTGGCCCATCTTCGTAATTGTTTGTCAAGGAAGGTGGTTGTGATCTGAGAGATAATATCTCCTCGGCAAATTCCTCTAGGAGGATGAGTTAGTTATTACCTTCTTTCTTTCTTTCTTTCTTTCTTTCTTTCTTTCTTTCTCCTCCTTTCTTTTTCCCCCTCCCTACTTTAATGTTCTACTATATCGGATGGAGTGGGGGGTTATATACTGTTCACTAATCTTGCCTGCAACAATTCTGACAGCGAGAGGACGCAGGCAGCCTCTTCGAGGATTCGCAGGAGGATTTTGATGGGATTATCATTTTCACTGTACGTTATACACCCGGTCGAATATTGGAAGGTAGAATTGCGGGACAGAATAGATTGTTTGCGAGCAAACAACAGCTGTGGGGAATCAGCTCAAATCCCTACTATACCGCGATTCGAATCCCTACTATATGGTGATTTGATCATTCGATACCCCTAGTTACTAGATCATGATTTAATATTGAATACTGGGATTTAATATGAATCCAATATCCCTACTGCATGATGATTCGACATCGATACTAGGTCATGGTTCAATATCCCTACTAGATCATTATTTGATATCGAATACTATGGATTCAATATGGATTCGATCTTCCTACTAGACGATGATTCAATATCAGGATGGGTGGAAACATAGGCTGCAATGGCTCCAACCATCTGCTCGCTTCCAAGGCTGATAACCTATTTTAAGCTTGCGTACACAGAATATAAGTACTGAAACACTATATCAAATATCCCGCCTAGGCTTAGACATTAGATACAATCTTGTCTTCAGCAATCCCAGAAACCCCGCCAAGCACTTTATCCCTAATAGTCTCCTTGAGACGTTCTTTGCTTAGCGCTTCAACCCCCAGCCACTCATTGTCCGTCTCCTGAAATCCCGTCTGATAATTAGAATCCCACACTACTCCCGCCATCAGCGTCGACACTGCCGTCATAGTATACTCGCCCCTCTTCAGCATATCCAAGCCTTCTTCAAATTTGACGCGGGCAGCCTTCTCGCTCACTACCCAGGACCCTGGGTCCGAAGAATATTTCTTCGCAATCTCCAGCACCTCGTTCTGCGTAACCAGCATCCCATGGACCTGCACGCAGTGCCCAACAACACGCCCCGGCTGTTTTAGCACTCCAGAAATAGCCCTCGCCACGGTCCCAAAGTCCGAGATACTAAAAGGGACATTACCCTCATTCACGATATCAATCCGACGGTGCGCCACGTCGATCATAAATGGCAGGTCGAACACGTATTCCAAGAACCCGCCGCAAGCGACAACCGTCCATGAGATCTCGTCGGATCTCGCTCGGAGGTACTTCTCGATTTCCAAGACATCGGTATACGGTGGCAGCAGCCGCACTCCGGGATTTCTCAGGCTCATGGCGTAGTCCGCTGGGATGAAGTGTTTCACGCCGCTGGCGATCGCCGCGTCGATGAGGGGCTTCTGAGTAGCGACTGCGACACCGGCCACCGTCGAAACTACGGCGTCGTGGCCCATGAGCGCGGCTTGTAGGGTGTCTTGCGATGTATAGTCTACCTCAAGGACTTGGACACCGTCTGGAATATTCCTGAGCGACGGTGCTGAACGCGTAAGGACTGTCACATCGAAGCCGGTTTTGAGGAGTTCGTCGAGGGCAACAGAGCCGAGTCGGCCTTTCTATGTAAGCCGGGCATTTAACTTGTCAGCCTAGCCAAGCCGAAGCAGGGCAGGTGATACTAGTATGCACTAGTATGCACTTACACCGGCCAGTGCCACCTTGGAGATGGCCATCTTCTGTATTGGGATTTCTAGCGAAGCCTGGGACTGGCTGCAATATAGGAAGACCTGCAGTATGAACTTCAGCCAAGTGAGTGAACTTATTAACTTTGTGGGAGTACAAAAGAATATGAAGCCCCTCACTAGTGGAACATCACTTATCCCTGTCTGCCCTAGCTCTTACAGTGCGCAAGAAATATTTTCCTTAGTGGTTGTGGATAAGTAGCGCTTATGTACTCTTGAAGCAGTCAAGTTAGATTGGTTGAGTATCAATAACAGTATAAGTAAGCACTAGCATGTATTGAGTACTCGGGGAACAGCCGCGGGAGATTAAGAAACGGAGACGGAGGATGTGATGGGAGGGTCAACCTCTGATAGGGTTGGTTGCTTCGGTCAGCATCTATTGCTGAACAGCCGTGCGCACATTGTCGTCTGTGTTATGCCCTGGCTCTACAGAGGTATAGCTTGGCATGTTCAGTCCAAGTTACCCTCTCTCTCATCATGGCTGTTGCTGTCATGTAACTAACGAGGTCTGCTGAGCACAGCTCTTGCTGCCGTTATAATATGTTTATATGCATACAAAGATTGTGTACTAGCATAAGTCCAAGTGGTGGAATAGTAAGCATGTACGCTCATCGCAACAGTTACACCTCACCAAAGCTTCATAAATATACCTCTATTTAGCGGCCTCACACAACAGTCTCGAAGGGCCTAAGTACTTAGATAGGCCATCCCCTGTAATTTCATTCATCCACCTAGTATCAACCAGGGACCAGCCCATCGCGTTATGCGCCAAAGCTCCTAGCCTTAATATACACTTATCTCATCCTGAATTCGGTATGAGATAACCGTTCCAGAAGGCATCCATCTCGATGAAAAGTTTCACATGACCAATTGGAAGAACGCTGCATTCTAATGGCCACTTTCATTGCAACCGCTGATCAATATCGCCTTGCTTGCTCTTCAGCTCGCCACACATCTCCTTCAGAACCCCGGCCAACCATGCGAAGTCGCTTATTTCCAAGTACACCTGCGCACTGAGTCGCGTCCAAAGGCAATGCCCATGGGCGAACACTGGCACAAAAGTTCCGTACTTGTACGCGAGGGTGGTTTGGAACCAATTGATCGTAGGGGCAACCTTGTCTGCCTGTAAGACGAGGTAGGATGGTCTAACAGGCCCTGATCTCCCCTGAATAGCAATAGGTAGCTGAACAGTTGACATGCCGCAGCGTCGCAGTTGACTTCGTTCTCCTGACTTCAGGTTGGGTTCCTGTAAGACTTCTGTGTCCAGGACAGCTGCCAGAAGATCTGCGGCTTCGTTTGCTAAGGTTTCCAGGTACGTGTAAATGCGCTCTTCACCACCACAGATCTCGTTGCGGAACTTCAAGGCCGCAGGGACACAGAAATATGGTGTGTCATCATTGGTAGCAACGAACTCAAATAGGCTCTCGAACGGGGTTTTGGACGGGTCATCGCTCTTCATAATAGAGGGAGTAGTCTCGGGGGTGCCAGGGGAAGGGATGTAACCCCATGACGTGGGGATTGTTGTGCGAATTAGATGCTGGTTGCGTTCAGGAACATAGAGGACGCAACAGCTGCGTGGAACAAAAAGCCACCTATGCAAAGGTCACCACTTGGGACATCTAGGCAGGAACGAAAGATACTCACTTATGACAGTTGCTAGTAAAAAAATCAGGCTGTAGTCTCCCCAGATCTAGCGGAATTTGGCCGATGCCATGTGCGCCGTCGATAAGACTCAGGATCCCTTCTTCCCGGCACACATCTGTTAATTTTTCAAAAGGAAACCGCATCGCCGGCAGGCTGGATACTACGTCGAAAAGCGCAATCTTCACGTTCAATCCCTCAGCCCTTGTGTTTCTCACAACCTCCAGAAATTGCTCCACTAGGTCATCATGACTGATTGGGCACCGGTATTGGACTTTCCGTGCCTGGAGGGGGGTTGACTCCATAAGAGAGAGAATTCCCTTCTCAAGAGCACCGTATATCGTTTCAAAGTAAATAATCACATCACCGGATTGGAAGGGAATGTTTCGAAGGATCGTGTTTACCCCAGTGGTGGCGTTTTTAACGAAGACACACTCATGTCTGGGAACGTTGAGCATCTTGGCTATTGCTTCTCGAGATGCGTCGAGAGCCTTTGGGGTCGTATAACGGATGAATGGATCCGGGCGTGCTTCAGCTTCATCTTGAAAGTCTCTCAAGGCTGCTCGCACAGCAGTTGGATACGTTCCAAAGGAGCCTGAGCTATAAGGTAAATATTGTGATAATGGGCTTGAATATTTCGTTCATACTTACCGTGGTTCAGATTTACAAAGTTGGGATCAATGAGGAAATGCTTCCGCATTGCGTCTCCAAAGGGAGTAGCGCACTTCATGTTTCTTGAAGGGAGTTCTATAACCTTTGAAAAGAATTTCTGTAATTTCTCATAGCTATCTTTTGCGGAATGAGGCTATTGATGGAAGGATAGTGAGCTAGTTAGTTAACTATATTGAGGCTTTGTCATCTCGCGCAGAACTTTTCACTTGATGATCCATGGGAGCTTCAAGTGGCAAAAGTTCCAGTGCAGATGTTGATTCGCCAGCACTCCTGCTTTAGTTCAGCAATGCCTGGATCATATGCCCAGTCCTGCATTTAAAAGTGCCGAATCATGTTCCTTATCCTCTTTTCATCTGATAACTCTCGTAGATCCCGAATCTCCTGCTTTTTCATTTCACAGAAAGTCTTGAGACACTTGCTCATCGCACCACCATCCCACCTTTCCAATTCATGCAAACTCTCACTGAGATCTGTTGGCATCCGCTGCGTAATTCCAAGCTCCCTCCTAGTTTGCTCATCCAGTGCCATTGGGTTGCCATTGAAATCCTGCCACACCAGTTGCTTTCCTGTCCGCAATCCTCCCAGCCCGGCGTTTATGAACGCTGCCACAACTAGATAGATATTCGCTGTGGCATCACAGCATCGAACTTCCCAGTGTCCCTTCTTCACTTTGCGGATTGGGAAATCTCGATTCTCAGTGCCCCAGCCGATCCAACAACCGGCTTCCGACTTTCGATCTGTGATGCGTTTGTAGCTGTCTTCTAGTGGCATCGCCAAGGCACATAATCCGCCTAATTGCCCTAGAATCCCCGCCAAGAACGCGCTTTCATCAACCTCCGAGTCCGACGTCATGGAAAGATGAAAGTGCGCGCCAATACCGGTGTGGACCTCCACCGGTGAAGGGTACATTGTGGCAATGATGCCGTGCTCCCAAAAGAGAGATTTGACGGCTTCTCGCGTATACACCCAGGCGTCGATCGATTCCAACGGAGATAGAGGACCGGTGGCGATCTCAAACATCCCAAGACCCGACTCTGAACAGTAGTGTAAAACTTCAATTTTCTCACGCTGCAAAATGCGAACCACATCATCGATGATGGGCGCGCAACGGTTCCGTAAGCCCGTTGTGGTCCACCAGGAATACAAGGTGTCATCTAGATCTTTCCCTTCGGGTGTTAAGCAACGGAATTCCACTTCAAACCCGATTCTGAATCGGACATGTGGTGCACTGGCCACGATGGAGGTTAGGAGGGTTCTCGGATCTCTTTCAAATCCAATGTCCCCTTCGGAGATGAAGCACATGACACTGGCGTGGCCTGGCGCATAGTGGCACTCGCGTAGGGAGGAGAAGTCGGGGTAGATGGAGTCGACGCCGACATGGGAACGATTTTCAATCATGCGAATGACATTTGTCGCGGTGATACATATTCGTCCTCCACAGAGAGGTGATTCTGTGGAAGCCAGTTTAAGCGCACTGGAGACGGGCACGACACGGGCACGTAGGATACCGGCATAATCAATCCACTGGTATCTTATGAACTCTATTTGAGGGTGTTTGTCCAGGAATTTGACCAGTAGAGTGAGTGCTCCTTTCCTCAACCCTGCACACATTGTCATCTATAGCAACAACCTATGAGGAATAATGTCGACCGTAGAAATCCGATGTCTCAATTGTATTTGTAGTAGCGCATGGGAGTGTGTCGGCAGTGGTAACTTTAACAAGTGAAATTTCAATGACCTCATCACTCAATTATTGAGAGCACCGTCAATTGTGATGGAATAGTGTTTAATGGGAGACTGGACGACCGCCGAAACCGGCATTCGTGGGATGGCATAGTCCGCATGCAGAGCAGGGAGCGTAGAAACCAACTAAATTGGAGATTCGGAATGAGGTAATGTATTATCTGGTGTTGAGGTATGGGCAAGCAATACAACTTTATCACCTTACAAGTAGCTGTAATTGAATCACTGAAGTCCAGACGTGGCGTCATGAACTAGGTCACTGAGATCATGAACCGGCGTGCAGAACTTCAGTCTTTTGGGAATTGATAGGCCACCTCTCTACTTTTCTTCTGCAAATCTACATTGCACATGATCCTTGTCACTCCATGGTGAGCAAATATAAGTACCTTCAACGAGGCGTCTGCGACGGCCCCTGCGTTTTGTAAGATACCACTCTTCTCTACAAATTTAAACTGCCTTTCTTCAGTCCGAGAATTTCCTATCTTTGATTGAAATGGATCCAAGACATCCTCCAACTAATGGAAGCGGATGCTTTCAGTACGCCTCGGTATCCTCTTACCAAGCTGAGAGGACGATCAACATAAGCGTGTTGTCCCATGAAGCAATATGTGACAGAATTCGTCAATCACTTGTGGAAGTAAGCAACGGCCTAGTCGCAGACAAAATACATTTCACCTACACCTGTGGCCAGCAAGTGTCCGCTGTTCGCAGTCAAGTAGAGAATGCATTATTGGACGCACTCGCAAGCCCGTACCGATGGGCGGTTCGTCCATATTGGGTACGAGGTAATGAGCCAGTACTCATTTTGTTATCCACTCGCCAATATAACACGTACGAATCATCCTTCAGCGGCCTTCTCAGCGCGATATCGGACATGCAGACCTCAGCACCTACTGCAGACACTTTGTACCGACTCGCAAACGAGCTCGACAATCGATCGCTTCGCAGTATTCTGCCCGAAAAAGCAAGTATCATTGAGAAAAAGCTGACGTCGATCTCCCACAGCAACAGCCTTTTGTTGGCCACTCTAGCTGCGGAGATCTTGACGTACCAAGGCACACCAACGTTGCCGATGAAAGCTATCATGAAATTGCAACAAAGAGCGGGTGGTTCTGTCGACCTCAATGGGTACCCTAGGCATGCCGCCGCGACTTTCGAAAAGCGTATCAAGGTGGATGACTACAATTTCTTCGAGCTAGTCCACCCCGCTTACTTCCGCCAAACCGTGGCTCTGGCGCACTTGGTGACCAGATTTATCAAGAATCCTTGTGCTCGGGCCATTGATGTCGGTCCTGGTCCAGGTACCAATCTTCTCGCATTCCTAGAACTACTCCCACAGACGAAAGTTCTGGCAGTCGAGCCCAGCGATATTGCATTCCAATACCTCACTGATCATTTCAAAGGCGAAACGAATATTACATGTGTGCGGGAAGACTTCCTGTGTGTGCCGGTGGAATTGGAAGAAGTCGATTATATCATGTCAACGGGGGCGTCCCATCACTTTTACACTGACGGATTCCTCCAACGCAGCGCACAGTGGCTACGACCGGGAGGCTACTGGTTCATTGCGGATGAGATGATTTCACCCTTTGAAACCCGTAAAGAACGACATCTCAATCTTCTACGCCACCATCTTGCGTACATGGTTCCCCTATGTTTTCCGTGGCCTGCTCGGGATGTCGATCCCCGAACACTCTCCGAGCGAGAATTTGTGGACGATTTCAATAATACTGTCCCGCTGGCCAAGTTCCTTGCGGAAACTGGCAGAGTCGACGATGCGGAAAGTCTCTGTCGTGAATTACTGTCCCGAGCGGAGCGACATGGATTCACAACCAAAGTTTCTGACCCACACCTTGCGTTCTGGCGACTGCAGTGGCTCGAATTGCAAGCTCTAGTAGCAGGGCTCGATTACGAAGTGGAACAAAAAACATATCCGCGGCACTTCATCAAGATGGCAGAGGGTGCAGGGCTCAAATGTGTTGCTCATCAACGAGTCTATGGCACAGTGGGATTAACAGATGACTGTGCTGGAACACATGTTATGGCTTTCCAAAAGGCATGAACGGGAGCCAGGTAACAAATTGTCCGAGCCAAAATCGACTGAGAATACTTCTCCTTCTCAAGGCTAGTTTCGCAGGAAGTGGTAGCCGTTATCGTATAGATTGGCCACTCTTTGTACTATGGAATTGACTTTATGCGTATCAAGCCGTCCTGGAAAAGTCATCTTCCGTTCAATACAGAGGTAAAGGCCAACGCGGTCTTTGGCTCGCATGTACGTGGTCGTGCGTGACCGTAGAGCTGAAAGTACTTGGTGCTGTGTCTCAAGAAATCTCTGATATACTCGATAACACACCTAGTTTCATACAAGACCAAGACCTCCGCAAGCGCAACCGGGCTGGTAAGATTTATCGCCTTGCATATCTATCAAGCTGACCCCTCTCACAGAATTTGCGAACTCGTTTCATCTCTTGCCACAATCAGTGCAGGGATTTGACCTTGTATTCTACGAGGCATCCGGATGTGAGACCTTCGACCCGATCGACCTTGTTCAAGGGAAAGTGGAGGACCTCTTGCGTGCTCAGCTACGGGACTTTCAAAGCAGCCTACACCATTGTCTCTACAATACGCTGTTGCAGGGAAGGGCTATTCTCTCCTGTTAATGCCGATGGCAGTACACAGCTGCCATTTTGGCCGAATTTAACAACATTCCGCCTCGAGTATCGAGACAAGCCCGTCCGTAGAGTGGTATTTCGAAATAGGCCCTATTGAGGAAGTAGCGGATGGGGGTGCTGTACGCCCGCTTCGTTAGATTTGGCATCCAAGATACCGTGCAAAAGCAGTGGTGGAACTTATTCGAGAATTCTATATCTCAGCTGGAAGGCAGCGCAGCGCATGCCACGGCTGCAATGTATGGGTCTGAAGTGCTTTTCTCCTTTGGTAAGTCACGGGTTTGTGTACGAGGTAAAGGGAACAGCAACGTGGACAGATCCAGCTGCATATGCACCGGAGGAAGGAATTGAGTCTAGAGGTCGAGCTGATAGACAGGACTGGTACAACTTGAAATCCTCTTATCTCTCTCATTCTTGGCTATGTTACGATATTCATACATAGCCTTATAAACATTAGTCACAGCCACTTAACAACTACATGATGATATCAACAATTGTATCTTCTTCATTAATCACCTAATCACGTTAAACGCAGACACTAATTATGAAGAATAGAGACTGCTCTGGCTAAATGCTCCGCCGACGAAGCCTCACCTCAATCCCCTCCTGACGAACAAAAAAGCTATTATGCGTCTTCCATTCCCCTTTCGAGTCCGCTAACTCAACCTCATACCTCGAGACCAGTGTGGCCACCACCTTGTACACCTCCATCATCCCCAAGTTCCGACCAATACACACCCGGCTCCCCGCACCAAAGGTCAGGTCCGCAGCATTCATCCGCCTGAGGCGCTCCTGGTACGCCTCCTCGGTCTCGCGGGTCGGGTCGCGAAGCCACCGCTCAGGCCGGAAGAAGTCAGCGTCTTCGCCCCAGACGGACTGGTTGCGGGCGAGTACGTAGGGATTCATGCCGACGATGCATCCTCCGGGGATAAACTGTCCGTCTGGAAGGGTGAGGCCTTCGTCTGGGACGTAGCGCTCCAGACACATGGCGACACCGGGGTGCATGCGCATGGCCTCGCGGATGACCGCGTTGAGGTAGGGTAGATCCTGTGCAGTTTTGAATGGTACGATTGTTGATCCCTCGGAGTGGAGAGATGAAGTCTCCTCCTGCAGTCGTTTCCACACCGCGGGATTCTTGAGCGCAAAGTACAGCGCCGCGTTGAGGGTGATGGCGGTGGTGTCCGCGCCGGCAATCATGTTGATCATCAGGTAGGAGATGATCTGAGCGTCGTCGACCACATTGGGGAACGTGGCTTTTGCTTCGATGAACTTATCGAGGAAGTCCGGCTTGCTTGGGTCGTGGTATGCTGTATCTTTGCCCTGGAGGCGGTCGACGAGGTGTTGGATGGAGATGTTGGTGATGGTTCCGAAAGACGGCGGGCCGATCCGGTAGACGGGGTTCTTGTCCAGGAGGTGGTCGAGGATGGGCAGTTGACTCACCAACGCAAAGTAATCCATGGCCTTGTCGGAAATGGCGATGGTGTGGTCGAAGTCATAGCCCTTTTCGAGGTACCCGATGGGTTCACTGAAGGTGACTTTTCCTACCACGTCCCAGGTATCTATAACCAACACAAATAAGCAAGTGAATGGTGGCCAGGATGCCTCACTTACAGTAGAGCAGCCATTGGCCAATATCACAGAGTCTTCCAGCTTTCGGTCCATCAATAAACTCCTCCTCCAGTCTCCGACACAAGAAGCCAATAGTCTCATCGACATGAGGCTCCAGCGGCAGCACACCCGACATGGAGTAATGCTTTGCAATGGGCCGCTTCTGCTGCGCATGCACCTGCGGATCGCATTCGCTGAAGAGATTGTAAATAATCTTGCCGTTGTTCTTTGCACTACTTCCATGATAAAACTCGGTTTTGCGGTAGTCGCCGCGGGTGCTGTAGATGGTGCGGATCAACTCGGGCATATCCAAGTCTACCACATTGGGCGCGATCCGAACAACTGGACCGTACTTTTTGTGCAGTTCAGTGGTAACGATATGCACCTTTCCCTTCCGGACGTGATATATCCGCCAGAGGTTGGTCCATCCTGCCACAAGTACATCCATTAGGGTTGTTGCACAGGAACTGGGATATACCTCACATACCTGCGAGAATTGGACCGGGGAAGCGGCGTAGAGGGGAGATGAGATACGTCCCCAGATACCAGACAATGAGAGCAGCCCATAGAGCTCCAAAAAATGGGTTGACG